CTGCGCACGTACGAAGTGCTCTGGGCACGTACCAGAGTGCATTGGGGCATTGTACCGAAGTGTTTGAGTGCATGTGTACCGAAGTGCTCTGCGCACGCGTGTACCGAAGTGCTCTGGCGCATGTGCTACCCGCGATCTGCGCCGTGTACCGAAGTGCTCTTGAGTGCATGTACCATGCTCTTTTGTGCACGGTACCAGAGTGCATTGGGTGCATAAACGAAGTGTTCCTGCGTGGCACCGGCGATCTTGCGCAAGTGTACCAAAGTGCGCATTGGTCCATAGAACCGAAGTGACCTTGGGTGCATGTACCGAAGTGCTTTTGGTGCATAAACGAAGTGCTTTGGTTGCACGGTACCAGAGCCATTGCGCATGTACCGGCGTTCGCGCATGTGTACCGAAGTGATCTGGTGCACGTGTACCAGAGTGCATTGGGTGCATGTGTACCGAAGTGACCTTGCGCATGTGCACTGAAGTGTTTTGGGTGCATGTAACGAAGTGACCGGTGCATAGAACGAAGTGCTCTTGAGTGCATGTACCGAAGCGTTTTGGGCACGTACCAGAGTGCATTGCGCAGTACCGAAGTGGCTCCTGGCATGTACCGAAGGATCTTGGGTGCACGTGTACCAGAGCGCATTGGGCATGTGTACCGAAGTGACCTTGGGTGCATGTGTACTGAAGCGCCTGGCACCGAAGTGACCTTAAGTGCATGTGTACCGGAGTTCTGGGTGCATGTGTACCGAAGTGATCTGCGCACGGTACCAGAGTGCATTGGTGCATGTGTACCGAAGTGACCTGGGTAGTGTACCGAAGCGTTTTGGGGCATGTGTACCGAAGCGACCTTGGGCATGTGTACCGAAGCGCTTTTGGGCATGTGAACCGAAGGCTTGGGCGCACGTACCAGAGCGGCCGCGCATGTACCGAAGTGATCTTGGGTGCACATGTAACGAAACGCTCCTGGGTGCATGTGTACCGAAGTGATCTTGCGCATGTGTACCGAAGTGCTCGGCACGTGTACCAGCGCATTGGTCCATGTGTACCGAAGCACCTTGGGTACCGAAGGTTTTGGTATCGCGGCACCAGAGTGCATTGGGTGCATGTACCGAAGTGCTCCTGGTGCATGTATCAAGTGTTTTGTGCATGTGTACCGAAGCGTTTTGAGTGCATGTGTACCGAAGCGCACGTGTACCAGAGTGCATTGGGCATGTGTACCGCGCCTGCTACCGAAGTGATCTTGGGTGCTCGGCACCAGAGTGCATTAACAGAAGGCACCGAAGCGACCTGCGTGTGTACTGAAGTGTTTGGGTGCAAACCGAAGGACCCGGGTATGTGTACCGAAGTGTTTTGAGCGCGGCAACCGAAGGTTTTGATGCACGTACCAGAGCGCATTGGTGCATGTGTACCGAAGTGTTCTGTGCATGTACCGAAGTGATCTTGGGTGCACGCACCAGAGTGCATTGCGCGTACGAAGGACCTTGCGCATGTACCGAAGTGCTCGGCGCATGTGCACCGAAGTGACCTTGGGTACGGTGCGAAGTGCTTTTGGCATGTGCACCGAAGTTCTTTTGGGTGCACGTGCACCAGAGTGCATTGCGCGGCACCGAAGTGATCTTGGGTATGTAACGAGTTCCTGGCATAAATCGAAGTGATCTGGGTGCATGTGTACCGAAGTGCTCTTGGGCACGCACCAGAGTATTGAGTGTATGCACCGAAGTGACCTTGGGTGCATGTGTACCGAAGTGCTCTGTGCTAGTGTACCAGAGTGCATTAGGTGCATAGAACGGGCGCTTGCACCAAGGTGATCTGGTGCACGTACCAGAGTGCATTGTGCATGTGTACCGAAGTGACCTTGGTGCATGTGTACCGAAGTGCTCTTGGGTGCATATTATCGAAGTGACCTTGGGTACGGCACCAGCGTCTTGAATGCATGTGTACCAAGTGTTTTGGGTGCACCAGAGTGCATTGCGCATGTGTACCGAAGTGCTCCTGTGCATGTGTACCGGTGATCTTGGGTGATGGTACCAGAGTGCATTGGGTGCACAAACGAAGTGACCGGGCATGTACTGAAGTGCTCTGGGCATGTACCGAAGTGACCTGCATGTGGGTACCGAAGTGTTTGGGTGCACGGCACGAAGTGTTTGGGTGCATGTGCACGAAGTGCTCTGTGCACGTGTACCAGAGTGCATTGGCATGTGTACCGGATGCTCCTGGGTGCATGCACGAAGTGATCTTGGGCACGTACCAGAGTGCATTGGGTGCATTTGTACCGAAGTGACCTTGTGCATGTACTGAAGCGTTTTGGGTGCATGTTCACCGAAGTGACCTGGGTGCATGTACCGAAGCGCTCGGCACGCACCAGAGTGCATTGTGCATGTGTACCGAAGTGCTCTTGCGCATGTGTACTGAAGTGTTTTGCATGCACCGAAGTGTTTGGTGCATGTTTACCGAGTGCTTTTGGGTGCACGTGTACCAGAAGTGCTCTTGGGTGCACGTGTACCAAGTGCATGGGTGCATGTGTACCAGTGCTCTTGAGTGCATGTGTACCAGTGCTCTTGGGTGCACGTGTACTGAAGAGTGCTCTTGGTGCATGTGTACCGAAGTGACTTTGGTGCATGTGTACCGAAGTGCTCTTGAGTGCATGTGTGTACCGACGTACTCTTGGTGCACGTGTACCAGAGTGCATTGGGTGCATGTGTACCGAAGTGCTCCTGGGTGCATGTGTACCAGAAGTGATCTTGGGTGCGTGTGCAAGTGCATGGGTGCATGTGTACAGAAGTGACCTTGGGTGCATGTGTGCAGAAGTGCTTTGGTGCATGTGTACCGAAGTGCTTTTGGGTGCACGTGTACCAGAGTGCATTGGGTGCATGTGTACCGAAGTGATCTTGGGTGCATGTGTAACGAAGTGCTCCTGGGTGCATGTGTACCGAAGTGATCTTGGGTGCATGTGTACCGAAGTGCTCTTGGGTGCACGTGTACCAGAGTGCATTGGGTGCATGTGTACCGAAGTGACCTTGGGTGCATGTGTACCGAAGCGTTTCTGCGCAAGTGTACCAGAGTGCATTAGGTGCATGTGTACCGAAGTGCTCCTGGGTGCATGTGTACCGAAGTGATCTTGGGTGCACGTGTACCAGAGTCCATTGGGTGCATGTGTACCGAATGACCTTGGGTGCATGTGTACTGAAGTGCTCTTGGGTGCATGTGTACTGAAGTGCTCTTGGGTGCACGTGTACCGAAGTGCTTTTGAGTGCATGTGTACCGAAGTGCTCTTGGGTGCAAGTGTACCAGAGTGCATGTACATAAATATATAACTTTACTTTAAAAGGAATTGTAGGATCATCATTTAGATCCACATCAGATTATGAGCTTAAACAAAATTCATATGCTGAGATCGAACTTTTAGATATACATGTAAATGGTGTTTTCTAGTTAATATCTTGAATTCTTAATAAATTTATTTTTCTTTTGTAGTTCTTAAATATCGTCCAGATCATTAATAAAGCTGTAGCAGTATAGCCACGGTATTTTACTTTTTACCTATGCAGGTTACAACATACAAATTACAATTAGGATGGTAGAAATAGTTGTTACAAATAGGCCAAGGAGTCGGAGTCGGAGTCGGAAGCATAAAAATTTGAGGAGTCGGAGTCGGAGTCGAAGGTTTTGTCTTCGACTCCACAGCCATATATATATATATATATATATATTGTCATGGAATTATTTATTTTGTTTTATTTGCGGTGTGGGGATTGATATCTGTATATGGTTGTTTCTTAATTTCTTACCGTAGAGTTAGATATATATATATTTGTGTGAATATATACTGACAGTCAGTGTTACCAACATCTTCATAACTCCACATTCTCTTGACTCCTTCGGTTTCTGTTGCCAGGTGGGAGCGTAGCTTCTCAAAGCTGAAATTCATCAAAACATTTATCTTCTTTCTTGACTACTGCAAGAGACATGTGTTGGACTGGCCATTGTGTCAATAGAACAGGAAACTGAAGAAAAACTTGAGCTTAAACTTTAAGTGTCTATCATTTAATATAGTTTGTATCGTTTACCATAATTTCGTTTGTAAAATACATCAGTACATGGAAGATCTCGCTCAAGACTCTTGTGTTTATACTGGACCTGTTTGGAGAGGACAGGACAAAGGCTATAAACGGGGGACAGGATTGGCGAACACTTTGTCCAGAGCGCCAAACTGCCTTACTCCCGCCATGAAGCTGTGTCGAGCAGGAGTCATCGTTCCGGGAAGTCCGCGAATGATGTGGCGGGAAGGTTACATGACAATTTTCGTAGAACGAGTATAATTATATTTCGATTTCAAACTGCCGCCTAAATAAATTTAGATAAAGATAATAATAAAACTAATTTAATATAAAACATGGTTAACGTCCGCATTGATCTGATTAAATTTTGTTTTAACTTTCTTAATTTGTTTATGTATTTACTCGACTACAGATAGTTGGGTATAGCTTAGTGTCTTGTTCGTCCTGGTAGAAATACAACAGCAGGCACAGTGGGTCGTGTGGCTGATGACGTCACGATCAATATCACGTTAGGAGTTGCCGATTTCCCCTCGCTGTCCCCTCTGCCAAGGGCAGTGTGGTGGCGGAGCGTGATGGCTGCCTCCTCTACATTCCTTACGTTTAATAAGAATGACTTCTCATTAAATTATACCCTTTACTTTTTTGGTAGATATCATTTGCTATCCAGACCTGGTGACGAGGATGACTGACGAAGTGAAAATTCCACCTAGTACAAGTTAACCCTCCCGCCTCCATGTGCCGGGGTTGCTGATTCGTGTTATTGTTTTGTTATGAAGACAACACAAGCTACTTTAAATAAGCCAAATGGCTCATTTCGTTTACTGAATATCACATACAATTAATGAGTTGATAATTGCATAATGTAAATGTGGCTATGCAATAAACAATAATCTTGTACATCCGGCAACTCACCACTTCTCCCCTTGACACGAAATTCTGTACTGGCGCGGCAGTGGCGGCTGAGGGTTGGACGCTGCGTCTACTGGTGGGGACGCTTCCCACGCCACCCTGGGACGCTGCCCACGCCGCCCAGCCACTGGACGCCCGTGCCATACACTTGCGGGTGAGGCTCACATTTCTCAAGCTTACGTGAATGCAGTAGAGTCCCACCTGATGGCGAAGTGACAGTGTAAAAATTTGTTGCCAATAAAACATTGGCGCGTCCTTGGAAACTCTTATCTGCTCAGTGGCTTTAAATTAGGTTGTGGGGAAAGCAAGCATCCTCTGTTTTTTTCCCCTCGTTCAGGGGAGTGTTTACGCGTGGCGAACTTCTGTGTAATATAATTTTAGTGTGGAAATACGATTTGTGACGGTGTTCCTGTAATCACTGACGCAGGAAAAAGAGACACTGGAGCACAGTGGCCAAGAGGTAGGCCCTCTAGTGTTGCGTCTGAGTGTCCTTGACATAGATGTTTTCCCATTGATGCTGCGTGGTGGTGCTCGTTCCTGCCTCGTGTCCTGTACATCCCTCGAGCCCGCTGCTGGATATCACCCTGGACATGTCTGGTTTCTCGGATACTCAACCTAGGCTGATTCTCGTGATCTAACAACTTGCGCCGTGCTTTAAGGAAACGTTATATTAATATTACTGAGAACTATGGAAGCTGACACAAAGAACCCTGATGCATTAAGTTACTCAAAGCAGCAAAAGCATCAAGCAAGTTGTGCAGCTCTTGTGGCGTCTTCTTGTGTACATACCACAGAGTTTGTTTACTATCATAAAACCCGTTTTCTTTTCGATTTTAAAGCAATATTTTGCATTTCTACACGAAATTTCAAGGAGAACGGATGGAAAATGCTTTTAATTCGATAGAGGGGCCGTAAGACATCACAGGTGTATAAGTTAACAGAGAATTCGCGAGAGTAGAGAGGTAAGGGAGGCAGGCAGGTGAGGGGGGAGGTATGGTGTTGTGGTGGGCAGCAACACGTGGACTCTCAACCTGCCTCCATAAGACTCCTCGCCAATTTCTTATCGCTTCCCGCCTCGTTTTAGATACCTGTACCGTGCAACACCCCTCGCACCTATTGCATTTAGTGTGTGTGAGGTACTAATACTTATTGTTTTACCTTCCTTGTGGAACTTTACAACTACGCCCTAAAAATGTTCCAAGATTTTATTCAGCATTAAACATTAACCAACATAGTAGGTAGTTGGGAGCTACCAAACAGGGAGGTACTACCGCCTGGGAAGATATTGGAAGCACAATGTGTTGTCTAATGGTAGACACTGCTGCCATATGGCATCACGAAAATTGTGACCAAGTCCCAGGTTGCTGATCTGACTTTCTGCCTCATTTACACACAATTGCAGGGTCTCAATTGTTTCTCTTACTATTGACAACACAACATACTACACTGTATGTAGTTTCTAACTCTTGATATTTTTTCATTTTTTGTATTTATTTATGGTTCTTCATTATTATTATTATTTTATTTTTTGTTTTTATTATAATTTTATTTATTATTATTATTATTATTATTATTTTCGCCCCCCCCCCCAAAGGCCCTGTGGGTCAGTGACCCGGGCCCAGGTGGGCTAATCCCCATATATATATATATATATATATATATATATATATATATATATATATATATATATATATATATATATATATATATATATATAATGGATGTCATATATTTGTCTTATATTGCTACGAACTTTAGTTGAGTTTTCTTCAGTTATTTTATTTTATTTTATTTAAGATATTTTATCTATATTTTAGTTATCTATGATTCCTCTTCATATTTTATTATTATTATTATTATATGTAGTATTATTATCTTTATTATAAGAATTGGTGGGAATGACTGCCGGAAGTCAGCATCTCGGAATGTTAGAGGGAGCGGTGGGGGAGGGTGACACGTGCTCCATGTGTAAGTGTCCCCTCGCCCCCACCCCACCGCCCATGTCTCTAGCTGTATAACTACGCGGTTTCATCCCTCGCTATTAACCTCTTCACTACAGCAACGCCAATATCAATATATATTTTTTGGCTAAGACGAGACGATTTTAGTCAGCTGAAGAGCCCGTACACAAGCGGTTAATACAATTTCATTTATGAAACCCGGCTTTATTTACCTAACCTAACCTAACCCAAGGTGAACCTTGTCTAACCCAGGGTGACCCTTGTCTAACCCAGGGTGATCTTTGTGTTTTGATGACAAAATGCTCCTGGTTGAAATCTTCTGCTATGGTTGGGTGTGTATGATGCAGTAACGCCATGTCCCTTTTGTGCACTGGTAGCCATCTTGAGTAATATGCATCATCCAGTGCAAAGAACCACGGGGCCATGGGATTAAGAACTTCAGTATACAGAGGGAAATTTTTTTCCCGAAGTGACCTGACATAAATCAGCAACAAGAGTTCCAGGTGTAACACAATGGACCAGTCGTGAAACGTTTGATATGAACTGATCATAGGATTGCACTAATTATCCATGGAGAGAGGACTATCACCTTCTTGCAGAGAGGATCAGTAATGAATGTATCCTTTCTGTTTGAGGCTGAAAAGTGCACAAGTGGTGACTTGATGTGCCCGAGAGTTCTGGTTAGATGGCTAGCCTTAAGGAATGAGTCTGCGGTACGTGGTGAGGCAACACCTGCTCCTACCAGTGCCTCTGTCCAACCAATGTTCCTAAGTCAATCTCCACGGACTTTCATAAAGGCCATCTCATTGTGCAAGCTACCTAACATTCTAACAAAATTCTGCTTACCATGGGTGTCTGGCCATTCTCACAGTGGGTCATCAACAGCTATAACGGAGACCTGTCCTGGGTCCAGGAGCTCTGCGGCTTGCTTCACTAAATCCATAGTATGCCTGATCATTGCGACAGATTCTGCTTGATCATGGAACAAAGGAATTAGAGACGAGATTGCAGGCACCACCACTGATGATTGCTACAGACTGGCAGCATGATTTGCTCCCCAGGAAACGTTGTTCTTACTCTCCTGGTCGTTCATAGTGTCGATACACTTCAGCCAAGTTTTGGAAAGATTTTTTCAGATTAGTCGGCACTGTCACATTATTAATTATAATAAAGTGATCACGGTATGTAGATAAAATCACAGCCTCCTCGGCTCCAGTGTAGTTTTCTCAACAGGACTGGAGGAACATTGGTGCAGAAAAGAGCCAAGTCTGCAACTCTATTGGTGTTTTTTGTATGAGTCTTGATCACATCATTTTGCAAACGATCAACACCTGGGTTGTTCTCTGCGGAGTAAATCACCTCATAAATGAAAGAACTTTTTTGTATGAACCCATTAGTTTTAACAAATCTTCTAATTAATTAAAAGAAGATAACCTTTTCTTCTATTGTTTCGTACTTTGTAATTTTATATTATCTTCATTTTTTTTTAATTTGTTGACATCTGTATACACACGAGGGTCTGCCATCTATAATGTAGTCAGGGACGGAATGAACGCCATTGTGTTGATACTTGACAGTAAAGGCAGATTGTGTGTGTTAGCGCAGGGCACCCATAGTTTCGTCACCTCAGGGTTATGGCAGAGGTCAAACCAAATTAGTACCGAACAGAGACAGTATTTACGTCGTGCACAGTACGGGCGGGGGTCAATTCGCTATAATCCACACGCATGCGGGCGTAACATCTGATTGGTCCTTGGCCATCAAGAGACCTGCAGGCTAGAGTTGCATTCCAGTACTCTCTTCCGACACAAACCCAATGTAATCTAACATCACGTAATGTAACCTAAATTAACGTAGCATAGACAAATGTAGATTAGCATCGTGTAACCTATCTTAAAGTAACGTAATTTAACGCAACGTAATGTAACGTAACACAAGGTAACGTAACGTAACTTTACCTAACAACAAAATTAAAAAAAATTTGAAGAAAAAAATTATTATTAAGAATGACGTCATAGTCTGGAGGCCAAATCCGTGCGTCATCCCAGCAGTCAGCTTAAAAAAAAGTGGGTCCCTTTTGGCATGACAGCCCGTGAGGGACAGTGTGGATACAGCACACTGTATACTAAACCTTCTGTATTGTACTGCACTCGACCACATCCACTTCCCATAGTTGTAAACTTAGGTACCCATTTACAGCTGGGTGAACTGGGAGCGCCCGGGAATCGAACCATTGACCCCCGGAACAGGAGACGAGCGCTGTATCTATTCAACCTCTGCTCTCCACACGAGGCTACCACATCGTTGGAGACAGGGCGAGGGTGTGTTGAGTCATGCCACCGGAGTACCAAACATTATCATCCAAGAAGAAAATCGGTCATTGAAAACTAAGGTATAAATGAATGATTGTTTGAGTTCTGAACAATCCCCATAATTTGTGTAGTAAATCTCCTTCACATCTATCCTTCATCCGTCTCCTATGGGCACAGAACCTTTTCTTTTAGGCGTCACTGTTACGTATCGTCAGGTTCTGTTGAAAGATAATGAGTCCAGGCCATTATCTATCGTGAATAGGGAAAACAAATTTGGAAAAACAGTAGTAACGATATTTTTCGAATCCTTTTTTCAGTATAATGTTTAGTATTGTTTTGTCAGGTGTAGGTCGTGGGGGTATAGGTCGTGTTAGAGGGTAGCAGGTCATGTTGGAGGGATGCAGGACATGCTGGAAGGATGCAGGTCGTATGGGGGGATGCAGGTCGTTTGTGTAGGGGAGTGCAGAGCGTGGGGGTTGGGGGGGGGGGATGATGGGGTCAGAGACCACCACAAAGAGACAAGTTCGATAACCTGTGTGTGTGTGTGTGTGTGTGTGTGTGTGTGTGTGTGTGTGCGTGTTGGGGTGGCAGGCAGCAGGGAAAACCCGGTGTGCGAGGATCGATAAAGAGAACGTGAAACAACACTACCTCACTGTCCACTACCACCACCACCTCACTGTCCACCACCTCACTCGTCCACTACCACACTCGTCCACCACCTCACTCGTCCACCACCTCACTCCACCACCTCACTCGTCCACCACCTCACTCGTCCTACCACCTCACTCGTCCACCACCTCACTCGTCCTACCACCTCACTCGTCCTACCACCTCACTCGTCCACCACCTCACTCGTCCTACCACCTCACTCGTCCTACCACCTCACTCGTCCACCACCTCACTCGTCCACGCCCAGTCTCAAAGGTTCTTACTGTGAATATTCTCCTCATAAATTAAGAATATAAGAATGTTTTTGAGATAATCCCTCTAAGCTAAACCATAGATAAACAGTAGAGTAAAAGCTAAACAAGAGACTACGTTCACCAGATACGTTCACTGGAGACGAAATAAGATGAACGTAAAGTGATTCCTACGTTAAATTTACCTCCTAACTGGATTTTACTGAGAGTTTAACTGGATTTTACTGAGTTTCTGTGTACTTTTGATGATATTTTTCGTGTTACGCTTTTGTTTTTATCTTCAGTCAACATGTTTAAGGCGTTTATATGTCTCCGTTAAGGGGAATAAAACATCTAGCCAACTATTGAAGATCTATCAAGTGGGGATACTGGACAGGGTTTTGTCTCTTAAACTGTGATGATTCTAAAGGTCTAAGATGACAGTAAGTTGTTTTAGTTCAGTTTATCTCTCAGTGAAATTAACGTGTGTGTGTGTGTGTGTGTGTGTGTGTGTGTGTGTGTGCGTGTGTGTGTGCGTGCGTGTGTGTGTGTGTGTGTGTGTAAGTTTCGATATTGTAACACTTCCGTTCCCAGGTTATGATTGTTTTATTTATTTATTTTTTTTTTACTGGGATTAGCTCACCCGGGCACAGGTCACTGACCCACATCAGGGCCTGGGGCGAATAATAATAATAATAATAATAATAATAATAATAATAATAATAATAATAATAATAATAATAATAATAATAATAATAATAATAATAATAATAATAATAATAATAATAATAATTTAGAACCATAAATAAATACAAAAATGAAAAAATCAAGAGTGAGAAACGATATATGTATGTTGTGTTGTAAACGTAATAGAAACAATTGAGACCCTGCAATTGTGTGTAAATGAGGCAGAAAGTCAGATCAGTAACCTGGGACTTGGTCACAATACTTGTGATGCCATATGGCAGCAGGGTCTACCATTAGACAACACATTATGCTTCCAACATCTTTCCAGGCGGTAGTACCTCCCTGTTTGATACATACATACAAACATACATACATACATACATACATACATACATACATACAACTGGTCGACCTCGTTTCCTTGAGTAATAAAGTTGTCTCATGTTCTTTGTGTGTTAACCGTTACAATATAACTCTCAGTAGGTCATCAAGTGCTTTTGTGTCTCAGAAATTAAAACATAACTCAGCCGCCAGAGGGGAGGTGATCCAGGGTATCAGGAGACAGTGCTTCTTAATTAACACAGGAACAGACTGCACTCCTCTGTACATTAGGACACAGTGTCTAGATGTTGATGTATAGCCTTGATGTTTGCGTCAAGGTGTACACTGTGCTCCTGTAACTTATAGGAGACGAGAGGCTTTATTCTTATACACCTGGAGTGTTTTATATAAGAGTATTTTGCCCTCCCCTCATATATACACAACGCCCTTAACTCCACTAACTCACACATGCTTTCATCTACATGCTAACGACTTGAAGTTTCATCTCTCAGAGCCACCCAACACTCAATTTTTGAACCTGTTTCCCCCCACTTCACTCTCACTCCCCCCAATAATGACTTAATCGATGATGAATTTTTTTCCACATCTATATGAAAATGAGCTGATTAAATGCACAGTCTTTGGGATAAATTTTAAGAGTTGTTATGTGCCAAGAGAGGGAGGCATCGACCGTCACCCACTACGTCAACACATTTCACCTCAGTCTCAGTTTTCTATTCTGGTCAGATTCAATTTCCTTTTTTTCTCATATAATATAAACACTACTCTGGACGCGTATCTTGCATTTCACTGGCTAAAAAAAACAACAACTTTAAGATTTACTATATCAGTTCCCTCAAGTATCAAATGGTTAACGGGACTGCCATCTCAACTGCGAAATGATTCTTTTTTGTGGGAAAGTTGAAGGTCTTGAAAATCCTGATGAGAACTACCAATTATGGGACACTGTTGGATGTATGTCTATTATGTATTGACCTACAGCATACAATTATACACATCTTCATTTTCTTTAGGTAACAATAGTGTGTTTGTGTGTATAGTCTCTGATAGTGCTACTGAATCATCTTATGGTGTTCATTAGTTACTGAAATTCAATGGATAAAATATTCATAAGTTACATTACGGAAACTCAGGCTCCATAATATTATCTTCACTCTTTAATACACATAGCAACCTTTCAGTGCGTCGATCGAACATAAAGTATACGATGTCGCCTCTGATCTGAATAAAATCATCTGCCGTTAGCTAAATAAAATATTAAAAGTGATGTCCTCGTAATAAAGAGGTTAATGGAGATAGTAGACTAACACATTACCAATACAGAAATATAAATCTCTATTATTATCTTCTAATACGCAGAATATACCACCTCCATTATTTTTTTACAACAACGGTCCCTTACTAACCAGTTGACAGACACACGATGTTATTCCCTCATCGTGTTGTCGGAGGTAAGATGGTATAAATGTTTTCCAATCACCAAAGTTCTCACTATCATCTCGTGGATAAAATATCTCTTGATATCAAATTTAGCGAGATGAAATGACGACGTAACCCATCACGTCACCATCAGCGAGGGTGAGATGTCTCGTGATGTCATATTAAGCCACCTAAAAATGCTATAACCCGCAGTCATGTGACATCATCGTATGGAAGTCTAAGATAGTTATTTTTTAGGGTTGAAAAAGGAGTTTCACAATCACGCTAAACGAACTATAATAGGGTTGGCTAGGAGGATCTGATCTTATGTTAACCGAGGCAAAAACTGTCTAAATCCAACAGTGAAACTCGTTTAGTCCACTTTCCTAGAGCCTCACTTTATGAGGATACCGCCAACACGCGGAGGGACATTGTCTTCTGCTTCCGTCTATAATGGCATGATATAATAAGAGGAACATGACAGCCAAATATTGGAGAGTTGATTTATATTAAGCTATAACCCTCATGAATCTGGGAATGAACGGGTGAACTTTTTTAACATCTATATTATGTAAACTGTCTGATTCCACTCTTTTAATCTCTAAATATTTACATAACAACCTTGTCCAAAATTCACCTCCAAGTTATATTTTCCACCACGTACTAAGTAGTAGTTTAATCGAATAATAACTTCATCCTAGAGTTCAAAAGTCAAAAGTTTCAAAATAGGTTACAGGATATTTATTCAACTTCTCAATTTAATTTACTTGAGTTTTTGCCATCATAGAAAACGTGTATAACATTTATGGGAGACGATATTTTATTATATTTTATTATATTACAAATTATTTTGATTTTGTTTTTTATTGATGTCTTATCACCAAGTAGTCTCCTTGTTAAAGATTAGATTTTAATGGACTTTCTTAAGGACAGATTAACGATTTGTACTTTGTAAAACGTTTATATGCCAACCCTGCCTAACGAACCCTGCCGATTTTACCCTGCCGAATCATTCCTTCCATATCAACCCTGCCGAATCAACTCTTCTGAATCATTCCTTTCATATCAACCCTGCCGAATATATCCTATCGAGAAGTGATAACAACTGTAGTTTCTCTGAGTTTTGATTTTTTTTATATAATACGTATTTTTCTGCATTGCTGTTGACCTGAGCCTAAGTTACGACCGTCATGGGGATGCCTGGCGGGTAGTAACTCTAATCTGATGCCAAGATTGTCCTAACACTACTCTGAAGTTATGTTATATTAGTTTGCTTTTTCATTTTATTCCATCTTATTGATTTTAGTCTTATAATGAATAAACTTTATCAATGAAGGTATTAATTTTATTACAGTTTTATGTCAAAATTTCTCAGCGGCCAGGGAACATAGGCTTCCGAAACACCTACCAGAGCTCCGTCACTAGACCAATCTAGGAGCTGGAGGAGGAGGGGGCCCCGGCCTACCAGTGGTGACAAAAGTCTCTCTCTCCCTCCCTCGTACTCATTATCACGTTGATCAATATAGAGGAAGATTTGCGATTTTCCGATGATTTATTTTGCTGAGGGTTCACTATTTCAAAGGTTTGGTTAGGTTAGGTTAGGTTATATTAAAACTTCGGATTAATGAACCGTTGGGGAAATACAATTGTAACCACCACAATAACCGCTGTTGATTTTTATACTCACACCAGGGACGGGGAAACTTTTGAGGTCGGTGCGCCAGACTGAAATAATAAGAGTTCTTCAGGAGCCACCTATTGTTTTCAACGTTAATAATGATCTACAGATTTAATGGGTATGGCCGCTATATAGGAACACCATCCCAATGTAGTTTCACTGCTATAAATTACTCTTGCAATATATATAAATATATTCTAAATTTAATTAATATCTATCGACAAAATCTACACTACCCGAGTCTATTCTTAAACGAGCAAAAAAAACAACAACAAAAAACAGTGTGTGGGGGGGGGAGGGGGTCATATCGAGTGTTTTGTTTTCATATCATGGTTGGCTTTAGAGATAATAATGGTATATTCCTGTGACTCTTGTGATTAATTCAGATAAAAACAAAACAAAATAATGTATTGACGTTTAAGGTAGTGAAGATGTTGACTCTTTTTGGGCAGGCGGAGCGGCAGCAGTGACAACAAGAGTAGCAGGGAAGAGTGAAGCAGGAGGTTCATTAGCAGAAAGAGGGGCGAGTAGAGGTAGAAGGAGGGCTCTCAAATACAAAAGGAAGACGACGAGGTTCAAGCAGGGAGGTCTAAAATGGCAGGTGCAGGGGTACAGCTGACACTATGCGGCCTCCTGCTGTACCTGGCTGAGCTGCGCCTCGCATATAGGATCAGTAAGTCCTTATCTGCTTCCCATTCCAGGCAATTATTTCCCATATACATTTATGTACAATTTAATTTCCAGGTGATATTTGAACACAGTTTTTTTTTTCCAGGTACATCTATAGATATTGAACTAATGAATCTGTTTATCTGTGACGTAATAAACTAGATTATACAATAATTTTCTGATATTGTCAAACTAATCCAGGTATTAAATCGTATTATTTTAAGATGATACAGATTTATATATTAAGAAACCGTAAGATTTTTAACCCAGTCCCTTCACGTTATAGCCACCGTGGACTCAGCTGGTGTGTGCAACGAGACCATCTGGCTGGAGGACGGGGCCAAGTCTGCCGCCATCCTCAGACTCACAGCCAAAGACTTCTATGACTTTGCTCCTCTCCGCTGTCACATCACCTTCAAGGCCTCGCTCCACCTATGTAAGTCTCTACCACTCTCGTCTTCTTTACATTATAATATACAAATTATACTTAATAATATATAAACACATTTTCCTGTCGCTTTGTTAGAGAGTTAAATACTGTACTTAATATATATATAACTGTTGTGGACGGGGTACAGCAAGTGAGGGAAAAGAGAGTCATGTTTGTTTAAGTTTTGTGTGAGAATTTTTTTTTTCTCCCGCGCTTTTCAATGAGTGAAATACTGTACGTTGTTATCCATGTTCTTCCGTCTGTGTGTGTGTGTGTGTGTGTGTGTGTGTGTGTGTGTGTGTGTGTGTGTGTGTGTGTGTGTGTGTGTGTGTGTGTGTGTGTGTCTTGCAGCATTAGTTCGTTTTGATAACTTAGACACCGTTTACAGCATGAATCTCTCAGCTAAATTTTTACCCTAAGCTTATTACTCACGAATGCTAGATCACGTTGATTACCTGCAAGCACAAACATTTATTGTATTTTGATTTTTATCCGAGACGTGTTGGACTCGTATATGAATTTAAACGAAAAACTATAATGATGTTAGGTTAAATTAGGTTAGGAGATAAGGTTAGGTTAGGTTTGATATCAGCTGTTGTTATATTATGAGAGAGTTATTGCTCTCTTGTAGACTTTAAGGCAGTGGTTCCCAAACTGGGGGCGTGAGGTGGGGACAGGGGAGGCGTGAAGCCATCTGTCAAAATTTGCTATTTTTTGCTCAAAAAGAATATAATGAAGAAACTCTTTCAGGAGTAACTCTCTCTCCGTTTGAATCTTCCACACATCCATGCAAAACCAAAGTATAGCAGTCACCCCTATCCGTTTTCTATCATTTCACCTCTCTCTTCACGCATCTTGTACACGTCACGGATACCATACTGACTCTCACACTACTCGTATCTTTCACAACACTACCAGCCACCGATCCTCCCTTATCTTCAGTTACAGTATGTTAAGATTTATATCAAACTATGTGTTTTAGTCTGGATTTCTTCTCTTTTAATGATTTTTTTAATTAATTTTTCTTATATAAGGGGAGGGAGGGGGGGGTGAGAACTTCGCAAAAAGCAAAAGGAGGCGTCAAGTTAAAAAGTTTGGGAACCACCGCTTTAAGGCATGAATAAAGCATCCTGACATTATTTTCTAATCAGCAGCAACTAAGAAAAATACAAATTTCCATGAATTCCAACTCAGATATTACGTTAAGCTACACATTCATTACACTTACATCCTGATCAGAAATATCAGATGTCAGGCTCTTGTGGATCGAGTCATACCAATAGCAAAAAACGCTCACAAAACTTGCAAAAAAAAAAACCGCTCACATCAATCTGACTTTTTATGGGGTCTAATATCCATTAAATCTAAATAATATCTGGTACTTACAGTTTTCAGGTTTGTAAGGCGTCGGGGGTCTTGTTGTATAAGGCGTATCGTTGTTGTAGGTGTCGGTCTTTTTTGTAGGCGTAGGGGTCTTTTGTAGGCGTCGAGGTTGTGTTATGAGCGTCGAGGGTCGTTGTTGTGTGCAGGGGTCGTTGTTGTTGTAGGCGTCGGGGTCGTTTGTTGTTTGTTAGGCGCGTCGGGGTTCTTGAGGGTCGTTGTTGTAGGCGAGTTGTAGGCGTGTTGTTGTAGGCGTCGGGGTTTGTGTCGTCGTTGTCAGGCGTCGGGTCTTTTGTTGTAGGCGTCGAAGGTAGGCGTCGGGGGGGTCTTTGTTGTAGGCGTCGGTTGTTGTTGTTGTCGGGTTAGTTGTAGGCGTCGGGGGGTCTTTTTTGTAGGCGTCGTTCAGGGGTCTTTGTTGTAGGCGTCGGGGGTCTTTGTTGTAGGCGTCGGGGGGTTGTAGGCGTCGGGGGTTGTTGCTGTAGGCGTCGGGGTCGTTGTTGTAGGCGTCGGGGTTCGTTCTTGCAGGCATTGAGGGTCGTTGTTGTAGGCGTCGGGGGGTCGTTGTTGTAGGCGTCGGGGTCTTTTGTTGTAGGCGTCGGGGTTCGTTCTTGCAGGCGTCGGGGTCGTTGTTGTAGGCGTCAGGGGGGTCTTTGCTTGTAGGCGTCGGGGGTCGTTGTTGTAGGCGTCGGGGTCGTTGCTGTAAGAGTCGGGGATCGTTGTTGTAGGCGTCGGGGATCGTTGTTGTAGGCATTGGGGGTCGTTGTTGCAGGCGTCGGGGATCGTTGTTGCAGGCATTGGGGGGTCGTTATTGTAGGCGTCGGGGGTCGTTGTTGTAGGCGTCGGGGGTCGTTGCTGTAAGAGTCGGGGATCGTTGTTGTAGGCGTCGATCGCATTGGGGGTCGTTGTTGCAGGCGTCGGGGGTCGTTGTTGTAGAGTCGGGGATCGTTGTTGTAGGCGTCGGGGTTGTTGTAGGCGTCGGGAGTCGTTTGTAAGAGTCGGGGATCGTTGTTGCAGGCGTCGGGGATCGTTGTTGTAGGCGTAGGGGTCGTTGTTGTAAGAGTCGGGGATCGTTGTTGTAGGCGTCGGGGGTCGTTGTTGTAAGAGTCGGGGGTCGTTGTTGTATCGTTGTTTAGTTGTTGCAATAGTCGGGGATCGTTGTTGTAGGCGTCGGGGGTCGTTGAGGGCGTCGGGGGTCGTTGATCGTAAGAGTCGGGGATCGTTGTTGTAGGCGTCGGGGATCGTTGTTGTAGGCGTAGGGGGTCGTTGTTGTAAGAGTCGGGGATCGTTGTTGTAGGCGTCGAGGGTCGTTGTTGCAAGAGTTGGGGATCGTTGTTGCAGGCGTCGGGGGGTCGTTGTTGTAGGCGTCAGGGATTATTCTTGAAATCAGTGGGTCGGATCGTCACTCTAAAATAAAAAGTTGTCTGAAGATGAACAATAACATGAAAAAAAAGTAGAACAAAATGAAGATGATGACGAACAAGAACAGGAACAAAAACAATAACATGAACAAGAAGAAGAACAGGAAAAAGAACAAAGTTTCCTGTCTGTTCTATACTCTCAGCTCTGCGTATCTCGTCTCCCAAGTACTGTACCCTTTAAATTCTAAATAAATAATACTGACCTAACACAACTTATGAGCTATCAAAGGTGAAATACATGTAATGGGTATAACCTTTACCTGCAATAGGCCCCTCGAGTAGCTCTCAAACTGATTGGCCGATGTTTTGATGATGTCACTGGAACCATCACACTGATTGGCCGATGTTTCGATGACGTCACTCGAACCATCACGCTGATTGGACGATGTTTCGATGAAGTCACCCAAACCATTACGTTGATTGGACGGAGTTTTGATGACGTCACCCGAACTATCTTGCACGTTGGTCGATGTTTTGATGAAGTCACCCTAAGCATTACGACTAACTCTACGTTATTTAAGTGCCATAGCAGCACAAACTTTCCCTTGAGTTGTCATGAGTTTCTTGCCTGTAGGGGAAACGAGGAAGAAGAGTGGGGGATGAGGAGATAGAGAGGGAGGGAGGGAGGAGGAAGAGAGGGAGGGAGGGAGGAGGAGAGGGAGGGAGGGAGGAGATGAGAGGGAGGGGAGGAGGGAGGAGATAGAGAGGGAGGGAGGGAGGGAGGAGATAGGAGGAGAGGGAGGGAGGAGGAGATAGAGAGGGAGGGAGGGAGGGAGGAGAGGGAGGGAGGGGGGAGATAGAGAGGGAGGGAGGGAGGAGAGGGAGGGAGTGAAGAGTAAGTGTATTGTTCTGGGTTCATGAAGAGGCAGGATACCATGATCATACCGTGATAGTGCCATCAAAACAAGCATGATAAATCTATGATAGTAACGATATAGTACCATGATAAAGACTATAATATCACCAGGATAACGACTATAATAGTACCATGATAATGACTACGATAGTACCATGATAATGACTACGATAGTACCATGATAATCACCCAACACCAATATTTGTCCCACGATTCTACCACAATAGCACCATGATAACAAACCATGATAACAAAACAACAGCATGTCCACGTGTGAGCTTCAAGCAGGTGTATTCATACCTGGGTTACAGATATAGAAACACACACCTGAAATCCAATTTATCTTCTACTCCCAGCTGACAAATTTCCAACACTACTGGCGAGACGATTTTTAATGGCAGGTGTGTGTGTGTGTGTGTAAACGATAAGAAGCACAAGATTTTAAAGAGAGAGAGAGAGAGAGAGAGAGAGAGAGAGAGAGAGAGAGAGAGATCAGCTTTAACCATTATGACGATGACCTACTGCATCCCTGTAAACACAGCCTGGACTTGGTAGCCTCGACACACCATGACTGGGGAAAAGGCAGGTGATAGTGGTGATGGTGGTGATGGTGGTGGTGGTGATAGTGGTGATGGTGGTGGTGATGGTGGTGATGGTGGTGATGATGTTGGTGACGGTGGTGACGATGGTGGAGCTACAGTCATGAAGTCCAATATTGTTGATGATGATGATAATATTTGTATCTATTATTATTATTATTATTACTATTAATATTATTATTATTATTATTAAAGGCTTATGTCATCTCCAACTCGTTAAATATAATCATACCCGTATATAATGTATATCTCAACATTCTAGATTGATTTAACGTATAATAAACAAACATTAAATGGCTTAAATCATGCTTAGTGGAGATAGTTTATTAACCTCTTGTGTACGAGGGAGACGGGGGGTGGGGGTCTGTGCTCAATAAAATCATCTGGTAATAGCTAAATAAAATATTAAAAGTGGCGTCCAGCAGTGAGGTGAAGTGATAAGAGTGTACAGCGTATTTTGCGGTTCGTAGGTTTTGGCTGCGTTTGGTCGACCCACAACTACCCCTGAACCTGACGTGATGGATGTTTTCTGCTGCTAAGGGATTTGTTGTTCAAGTGTTTGGTAAATATATAGGTGTAAGTTGCTCTATGAGTCTATGGACATGTAGTGGTCATCTTTTGGTACTGCTAATAATGCTCCTCTGCAGGGTCGGGCCTGACTGGGGTGCTGGAGGAGGTGGACCTGAGGCGTTATGAGGGCACCGCAGGGCATCGTCCTCCCCAGACCGAGTGTGTCGACTATATCATGGTGGGTCTTCTCTCTCTCTCTCTCTCCTTCCATCATGGTAGCTATTTCGTCTATCCTTCTGTCATGGGAGATCTTTCCTCCCTCCTTCCATTATGGTAGGTCTTCCTCCCTCCTTCCAACATGGTAGGTCTTACCTCCCTCCACCCATCATGGTAGGTTTTTCCTCCATCCTTCCATCATGGTAGGTCTTACCTCCCTCCACCCATCATGGTAGGGTATCCATCCATCATGGTAGGTCTTTTCCTCCTTCCATCATGGTATCCATCATCCTTCCATCATGGTAGGTTTTCCGCCTCCCTCCTTCCATCATGGTAGGTCTTCCCTCCCTCCATCCATCATGGTAGGTCTTTCTCCTCCCTCCATCCATCATAGTAGGTCTTTCCTCCCTCCTTCCATCATGGTAGGTCTTCCCCTTTTACTCTAAGCAGTCATGCACTTGGCAGTCAAAAATAAGCCTCTAAGGTGTTAGATGAAGAGATACAGTATAATGTTTTCTGCTGTCCTTAACTCTGCCGAAAGAGAGGCCAGGAAAAATTACTTGGGTCCAGTAAGTGGTGATGTTATTACGAATTAGTGATGTTGCTAAGGACTGAAGTTGTTTACTTTTATGATACGAATGATGTTTGAGGTAGATGCTGTTGTGTGTTACAGGTGGTTAAGAGGTGGTGTGTTACAGGTGGTTAAGAGGTGGTGTGTTGGAGGTGGTGTGTTACAGGTGGTGTGTTACAGGTGGTGTGTTACAGGTGGTTAAGAGGTGGTGTGTTGGAGGTGGTGTGTTACAGGTGGTTAAGAGGTGGTGTGTTACAGGTGGTGTGTTACAGGTGGTGTGTTACAGGTGGTTAAGAGGTGGTGTGTTACAGGTGGTGTCGAAGGCAAAGGGGATTTCCCAGGAGCAGCAATGCGGGTCTTGGTCAGTTTCGGGTCAGGAGCGACTCACCGACGCGGTCTCCAGGAGGACGCTCTTTGGCAACTGCCCGGACTCTGTAGCCAACGGGAACAGCGTCCATAGGTGTGGGGTGAGTATATTCTGTCTGTCTGTTTGTCTGTCTTCCTCTGTGTCTGTTTGTCTGTCTTTCTCTTCCTCTTTCTCTATCTCTCTCTTCTTTTGCTCTCCGTCAGGTCTTCACTTCTAGAACTCATGTCCAAACTCGAATTATTTACGAACGGGATAATAAGATGCACAATAAGATAATTTTTTTGGGGGGGGGCTCTCTGTATACAGGTGTGGTGCTGCAGGTGTATACAGGTGTGATGTTGCAGATGTAAACAGGTATGGTGTTGCAGATGTAGACAGGTGTGACATTAGAGGTGTTGTGTTACAGGTGATGGAGCTGACGGTAGAGGTGTCGATAGGGGAGAGGGACCACCGCTTCCTTGGGCAAGACATCCGCTGGCGTCCTCACCGGGGCTTCACCTTCGTTGTCACCGCCTACAGTTACCCATGTAAGTCACCACCAGGTACTACCATAAGTCACCATGAGGTACTACCATAAGTCACCATCAGGTACTACCATAAGTCACTAGTATGCACTCACCTCACCTCACTTCACTTTACTTCACTTCATTTCACTTAACCTTCAGGTTATCGGACAAAATATACCTTGCACTTAGTATACTGTGTATGTATGAGTGTACTGGGGGTGTGTATGAGTGTACTAAGAGTGTATGAATGTACTGAGGTGTATATGCATGTATTGAGGTGTGTATGAGAGGTACTAAGAGTGTGTAAGAGTGTTCTGACCGTTTCCGTTCATTACAGACCCAGAGAGAGACTGTGCTGGAGGTCTGCGGTCGTGCGGTACAACTGGAAGTCATGACCAGAAGACCCACTGCGTCCATCAGTCTCTGTGGTGCGACCATCACATCAACTGCGGCCAACCTCACAACCTTGACGAGATCTCCTGTCTTGATGATGGTGAGTCCTGCCCTGTCACTCTTCTCTCTATGTGGTTTAGGGGGATACCAGTTAGGGGAGTTACCAGTTAGGGGGTTACCAGTTTACCAGTTAGGGGGTTACCAGTTAGGGGGTTACCATCAGTTAGGGGGTTACCATACCAGTTAGGGGGTTACCATCAGTTAGGGGTTACCAGTTAGGGGGTTACCAGTTAGGGGGTTACCAGTTCGGGGAGTTACCAGTTAGGGCGTCCTCAAGGGAAGACGTAATCCTGTTCAAAATGCTGTATGTTTTTTCCTTACTCTACTCAATAGTTTTCTACGGTTTTATATATTAAGATTTCAGAAATCCATAGGGTCTTGTCTCAGATGGTGGGCATCACTTAGTAACCAAGAGGCCTGATGCATCACGACGGAGATTTTTGTGGAAGAGTCATCGTAAGATCCTTTGAAAATCCTGACTTGGTATTGATAGTTTCATATTATTACTATGTATTACTTTTTACGTCTGACAATGTTTCTGTACATTATATAGGATATTGATTTGTCTTGAGTTCAGCCAATTTAATGGGTAAAACTTTTGTATTAGTATACCTCTATTTATTCTCCATCTCCTTATACTGGTGTGCATTATCTTCTAATCCTGTTTACTGTGTTTGCTACTCACACCATTTACTGCGTTATCTTCTGACTCCACTTTCTCTATTAACTCATCAACTCATTTTCTGTTTCAACCTTTTTTTTTTGTATCATTTTCTGGACATCATCTTTTTACTTCGTTTTCTGTTTCAGAGATATTGGGGGGTCTGGTGACGGTGATGGTGGGGCCGTGGGTTGGGGCGGCACTCTTACTACTGCTGGTGCTGGGTATGGTGGTGTACTGGCGCCGTGCCCGACCACCTGCCCCTAGGGATCACCTACCCCCACAGGAACTCAACTCTTATGCCGAGTCCTACGAAGTGTCCTCTACTCTCTCCTCCGCCCATCATATGGCGATTCAGGTAACGAGAGAGAGAGAGAGAGAGAGAGAGAGAGAGAGAGAGAGAGAGAGATTTAACTCCATGGACCATGTACAAAGACAGGTGGTGACAATGGTCTTTTTTTTTATTGCAGGTTCGTGTTGTGTGTAACTCTGGTCACGGAATCCACACCCAGCTCTCACACCCCTGGCAGACTTCAGATCTTCCGCCCTCCTACGAATCGCTCTTCCCACAGGGTCCGCCCTCTCCCAAGTTCTCCACCAGCACCTCCACCACCACTATCCCCGCCACCAACTCCGCCACCAGCTTCGACATCACTACCACCTCCCTCGTCAGCCTCGGCTCCAATACTAACGCTTCTCCCGCCACTTCCACTTTCTTCTCCAATACGACGCAGACCTCCAGCATCGTCATCCCCATCAGCGCCATATGCAACACTTTAAGCACGTCGGGCGTCTCCACCTCTTCATATACCACCACTACAGCCTTCACCACCACCCCTGTCTTCACCAACACAGCCACTAGCACCAACACAACCACTAGCGCCACCACTAGTTCGTCTTTCACCAACACTACAATGGTTACCGGCTGCTCGGAATCCACCACCACCCCTACAACCACCCTCTCTGTCGCCTCCTACAGCTCCTCCCCGTCGACTACTACGACAGTGTCTGTCACGTCAGCCGCCATCAGTGAAGGTCCGGGCACTGTATCGTCTCAGTGTGAGGCTCATAGTGCTGACAGACTGACCACTTTCCACTCTGACAACACAGATTTCGGTAACAGGAGCAATAGGAGACATGTCACGCCGACGACGAACCATACTGAGGTTGGTACCCGCACCAGTAAGGCATCCACAGCACCCAGACCTGCCCCACCCTACGCCACACCCCCACTTGTAGAACCCGAGGACACAGAAATTACACCCAGTAAGTCTGTAAACTGTACATCACCGCCAGAACCAACACCTGATCATTCATGTCCGAGACCCGGTGGTGCAGAGAGCGAGGCGACGGTAGTTAGTGCAGCAAAAGACACCTCAGAGGCGGGACACCACACTAGTACTTGGGACACAGAGACACACTATTCTACACAGGGGTCACCTTTATCACTTTCTTTCCTTATAGAAGACCCTTCGCACGTAGTAGACGAAGTATTACCGCCGTTCAGTGGAGGAGACACCGAGACCTTTGAGGACACCGTATCAGCACTCAGTATATCAGTGGACACGGGACAGACAGGCACCTCAGTGGACACAATGTCCACTAGTGTCATGGGAGGAAGCAACAGCTCGTTGAGTGATGCACGGGAGGAGGTGCTGATCACTCCCATAGATGATATAGCAATAACAGCCCCAGCGTCGTGTTCTTTCACGCCACTAACAGTTGATGTTATTACGTCGACGACAGGTCCTGCACGTGCACCTACATCGGCAACAGCTGCAGCAGAGAGCGATTCTTAGGCGACAACAAGTGCATCAGGTGTTATTACGTCGACAACTGCAGCAGGTGGTAGTGCAGCGTCGACACCAAACCCAGCTGTGAATGCCTATACTCAGTAGACAGGAGACTGTAGACAGCACCACATACACTCTAACAACCCCGTCAGTCCCGCAGCAGCTAGAGAGGTTCGGTCGTCATATCAAGCAGCATGTGACACTTAAGGGATACGTATATACACATTGGTCAGATCCCCCATCACTAGTTTTATCACTTAATGTGTCACGAGATGCTACATGACACATTTATGTTACAATACAAACGAAATAACAGGATTCAAAATTTCCCCTCGTCCATTGTCTAGTTATTATTTTTCTCAGGAAGGTATAAACATTTTCGTCTATGGTATTAGCTTCTACACACACACACACACAACTCCACCATCCCCTTCCTCCCTCCATCTACACTCACCCCACCCTACCGCCCCCTTAAACCAGCAGCACTCAAGTCTAACTGCAAATTAATAAATCTGTTGTACAAATACCAACGTTAAGCTGAACCACACCCACCCACCCACCATCAAGTTTAGACGAAAGTAGCTCAGATATTTGATATATTTTTTCTCCTGGAAAACATGTGATATACTCGTACTTAAGGGGTCAAGTCGGGGGGGTAACAAGTTGGCGCACACACACACACACACACACATACACACACACACACACACACACATACACACACACACACACATACACATACACACACACACACACATACACACACACACACACACACACACACACACACACACACACACACACACACACACACACACACACACACACACACTATAACGCTAACTGTGTGAACCCTGACTTGCTTCCTCAACACTGCACACATACCTTTATATCATATACTCATGCATGCCATTATAAAGAGAAAAAACATACATTAGTCGTATAAATATTTTTTGTGACCTCTATAACGTTTGGTCATTGTCTTTCTGCTAATAAAAAAAATAATATATTGGTAAAGGGAATCTTTTATTTAAACCAGCCTAAAAAAAATAAAAACGTTTTGGTAAGCTGAGGAGTTAGTATATTCCTATGAAACAACAGTAAATAGGAATTGATTACACGAGGCACCTGGTACACCTCAGTGCCACATAAATGCAGCACGAGCAGTCTGGTCAGAAGAAGCAGGTACTGAGTCTACTAGATGCAGGTACAGTACAAATCATTACACCTACATAATCTGGCTTTACTGAGACACAAAACTTATATTATGAAAAAAAAAAAAAATTCGAATACTTGATCTAAAAAAAAGCGTCATGATTTTAAGCAAGTGTATGTGTAATAGCCTATGTCCTGCTTGTATTGTTTTGCCCTCACAGCAAACCACAGAGGACAAGGAGTCACCTGGATCAAAACAATGAGGCCTTGATGAATGATATAGTGATATTTGGTGACTTGTTTTACCTACAAGTACTCCGCCGAGGTCAACAGGGGCCATAGAATAAGTGCCACCTGTCATGATCTATCCCATTATTCTAGTGGCACAGATGCAATGGTGTGTGTGTGTGTGTGTGTGTGTGTGTGTGTGTGTGTGTGTGTGTGTGTGTGTGTCGTCTTCAACAATTCGTTTCACGGTAGAGGAGATAAGTAAGTGTGCATGCAACTGCTGGAATTGTTGCATAGACAATAACTATCCATAAAACGTCTCCAATACTGAGAGATATATCAATCGTCAACAAATGTTTTAGCCGCTGTACATTATATACACAACAAGTACCACCACTGGGTAGCTGTGTAACACGTGGCTCCACCTCATGGGCTATCATGTCGTTTGGAGTATCTCGTGCTAAGTGTTTGCGTCCGTATCTTGACTGACGAGGAGTTACATCTGCAGTGTGTGTGTGTGAGTGTGAGTGTGTGTGTGTGTGTGTGTGTGTGTGTGTGTGTGTGTGTGTGTGTGTGTGATCTGTAAAAGTAAATTTGTTTTTCATATTCAGTCATGAGAGAATTGGCTTGGTACTTTCATCTTACTTGTTGGATTTTCTGTTGAACTAAACTTGAGAACAAATTTGCTGAAGTTGGCCGACAGATACAGCACAAGAACAAAGGTGATATAAAAACACTGCCACAATAATTCAAGATACAACCAACATATAATTCGACGATATAAATGCATTAATAAAAATTCAGCTATGTAGCCTAATTATCGTGGCAAATATACCAGCATTAGATCTTACCAGCTACTGACTCCCAGGATTCAATTCTTAACAAAAAATATATTTTCTATTCAAGGAGCTTTTTTTGTTTTTTTAAATCTTTACTTCTCACAATGTGGGACCTGGATCTTACGATTTCTCTTTTTTTTTCTGGCACAAAACACAAACATAGAGCTCCTGTTATAAAGCATTATTAGAGTTATATTATTTAATGGCCTCTTACTTATTCAACAAGGCGCTAGATGGTCAAACTTATAGACTTCATACCTCTCTTACTGTAGTCACCCTTCACTACATCATCTCCGCCACACATGGACCTGATAAAATATAAAACTATCCGGTAATATATCGGCTTCAGTATAGGAGAACAATTTGTTAGGTTCTTTGTTGTTTGTACAGTATATTCTTTAATGTACACACGCCATAAGTCTTGATACAGGGAGCGTAGGAAGGCGTCTCCCAGCGGCCAACAGGAGTACTTGCCCTTCATCACCTTCACTTCAGAGAAACTACTTTGACTGAACTACAGTAACTGGCTGAATAATTAGCATCAGGCACCTCGAGCCAATAATAAAACAAGTGTGAATAAGAACTCGTCACTGATAACGCTAAACAGCTTAAAAAAGGGGGGCAAGGAAAAACGTGAATTTACTGGGAATTTACTACTGTCCAGCTCTGCTTCCCGTCACGACCGAAGTAGCAGTGATGGGTGTTAATCAGCGTTACGTCCTACGCCACTACATATATAATTACAAGTATATATCATCACCTAACAAATGAATCAATATTAATAGAATAAAACCCAAACTCATTTTCTTCTTTACCACATATTTATACAAGCTGTCAAGAAATAAATTATAAAGAGAAAAATCTGTATCGTAATGCTGACTAATTCACGTTTCATCCTTCACAGGACCCGGAATTAATTTTAAACTGATCATTAAGACTATAACACGCATTCATAAGCATAACTTCCTATGGTTTAACTCACAAAATAAATTCATGAAAATACGTCACAAGATAATAAAAAAAATAAATTAATCTATTCTTGATACCAAAAAAAAAATACACAACTCTGCTGTAGTGAGGCCGCGCGCCCTTAGTCACACCCTACAAGCACTTGACTCCGGGAAGCGTCAACTTGATCATAGTGACTCAAGCTGCATCTTGCTGACGAGGTATATTAATGGTACCACACAGTTATAGGGGTGGTGAGGCGGTGTGGTGGTGGTGGTGTAGGAGAGTAGTGGTGTAGTGATGGGGTGGTGTGATGGTGCAGGAGAGTGGAGGTGTGGTATGGGGTGGTGTAGTGATGGGGTGGTGTGATGGTGGAGGAGAGTGGAGGTGTGGTATGGGGTGGTGTAGTGATGGGGTGTGGTGCGGTGGTATACGGTACAGTAGCAGTGCGGTAAAGTAGTGGTGTGGTAGTATAGTGGTGGGGTAGAAATGGTAATGTACTAGAGTGGTAGTGTGGTAGCCTGGTAGTGTGGTAGTGTGGTAGCCTGGTAGTGTGGTAGAGTGGTAGAGTGGTAGTGTGGTAGTGTGGTAGCCTGGTAGTGTGGTAGCCTGGTAGTGTGGTAGTCTGGTAGAGTGGTAGTGGTAGTCTGGTAGTGGTAGCCTGGTAGTGTGGTAGCCTGTGTGTGTGGTAGTGTGGTAGTGGTAGTGTGGTAGAGTGGTAGTGGTAGTGTGGTGTGGTAGCCTGGTAGTGTGGTAGCCTGGTAGTGTGGTAGCCTGGTAGTGTGGTAGAGTGGTAGTGGTAGTGTGGTAGTGTAGTGGTGGTGTGGTAGCCTGGTAGTGTGGTAGCCTGGTGTGTGGTAGAGTGGTAGCCTGGTGGTGTGGTAGCCTGGTAGTGTGGTAGCCTGGTAGTGTGGTAGCCTGGTGTGTGGTAGCCTGGTAGTGTGGTAGGGTGGTAGTCTGGTAGTGTGGTAGCCTGGTAGTGTGGTAGAGTGGTAGCCTGGTAGCCTGGTAGTGTGGTAGCCTGGTAGTCTGGTAGTGTGGTAGCCTGGTAGTGTGGTAGAGTGGTAATCTGGTAGCAGTGTAGTGGCCGTGAAGTGTTATCAACCGTTTCATAATTATCTCTGTATATATCCGTTGGTCTGGTCTCTCCTCCTCTCTCATCTATTCTAACTTTCTATATTATTCTTTTTTCTCTCTAACTTTCTAATTTTTTCTATCAGTATCACTTTCTCCTTTCCTTTATATCTCCCTCCGTAATTTTCTTTCTTCTCCTCTCACATCTTCTCTATTATCATTATTCTCTCTCTCTCACGCTCTCTGTCTCTCTCTCTCTAACCTAATTATCTCTCTTTTTCTCTTCTCTCTCTCTAGTTCTCGTTCAGACTACTTTTAATTGTTTTGTTTATCTAAAGCTTTAGCATTTCGGGTTATCTCCAGGACGTGTTAATTAAGTGTCATTTTTCAAGGTGTGAGTGAACAAACTGTAGATAAAACTGCTTTCGCTTCAACTTGTTAACTCTCTCTCTCTCTAATATTCATTCTTCCTCTCTTACATATATCTCCTTCTATTGTTTTTCCCCCCTATAACATTCTTAATTTCCATCTCCCTTTCTACTTTCCTTTATCTTCCTCTCTTATGACTTTGTCTCATGTTCTTTATTCCTATCTGCTGCTCTTTGCCCCTCCCTTCTCTCTCTCTCCGTCTCCCTACCCTGAATTCTCTTTCTCTCTTCCTCTCTCTTTCTCTCTTCCTCTCTCTTTCTCTCTTGTATCTCCTAATATGTCTGGTTCTACATGTTCTTGTTGCAAGCTGAAAATAGCCTCCCACAGGCTTTGCAACCCCCTGCAATGAACCTCGATATACAACATGGAGAGAAGAACCTAGTCATGGTAACGTCTCTGTACCTGTACTTGTTTCTGTACCTGTCCTTGTTTCTGTACCTGTCCTTGTCTCTGTACTTGTCACTGTACCTGTCCTTGTCTCTGTACCTGTTCTTGTTTCTGTACCTGTCCTTGTCTCTGTACCTGTACTTGTCACTGTGCTTGTACTTGTCACTGTACCTGTACTTGTCTCTGTTTCCTGTCCTTGTATCTCTCTCTACCTATACTCTTGTTTTTGTTAATAATATATAATGAAATTGATAATGAAACACAAGTAAGATCTGTTATTGTACCCCAGTTTCATAACACACTATACCAACACCTCAGTTTCCTCGCCACTAGAAAAGCCTTCGGGTGAATTCTCGGCATTTATTTACCCTCATGACGTCACGGACTACACAAACGAAAACCCTCACTGAGTGGCTCCCAAGCGCCACCACCCAAAGGACTAGTTGGCAACCTGAGGCCCAGCTGTGCAGGCGTGATCCTATTGTGCCAAGCCACCAGTAGCAGTGCCATCCTTATTAAGCAAGGTCACGTGCGATTATTTACTTCAGCAGGGAATAACAGGAAGAACAACGATAAACATCCACCATTTTGTTTCGTTGTGCTACAGAAGAGAATTCGTATGTGGGTGTCCATCGCAGGCCGAGGTAATAAGCACTGGCCTTGATGTGATGAGCTGAGAATCCGGTGTGTAAGTTTAACACGATCAAAGGCTCACCGGCCGCCTAGTATAAGAGTGAACTACACTGTGTTGATTACCGTGCTCCAAAACAAGTGTTGTGGTTGTGGTGGTGAACGCCTGGGATTAAGAAGTGAGGTTTGGGTAATGTTTTTTTTTTTTGTTAGGGTTAGTTGTAGGTGAAATAATATGTTGACGAAGATGTTTTACTGTTGTGAGTGATCGAAGGAAGTTGGTCATGTGATTTTTAAGTGAAAGTTGTGTGTGTGTGTGTGTGTGTGTGTGTGTGTGAGAGAGAGAGAGAGAGGTAACATACATCTCCCCCGACACCTCGTCCACGCAACTGTCGTTGTTTTAACTTTTCTTCCTCCCTGGGACTTACAAAGAACTTTGCCAATCCTTGTGGATACACCTACTGGATAAGTTTGTACAGCAGTGGACGTGAGGAAGGTGTTACAGTAGTGTTTTATGTGCCTGCCGTAAAGAGAGCGCCGCTGCAGGCAGGTGGGTGAACGCCTGTCAGGTGTGGCTGCCATTAACTTGTCATTGTTGGGCAGAAGGGGGATACCAAGCGCTGTGGTTTGTTTCTGTTGACATGTTTTAAAGATATGGATCATAGTGATATTTTAAGCGTTCACCTGTTGATGCTATTTTCTGTTAGACGGAAAATCACAGATTCTTGAGAAAGCTTAATTTAGATGTAATTCTTAAAACTTTAAAGAACTCTATAGGCTGGCTGAGGTCACAGTATGTAAGAAAATGTCATGTTTTTACTTAGACAGACACAGATATGTCGACTAATGGAGATAGATAGATAGATGGATGGATGGTTGGATATTTTCTCAGTGAAATCGTCATTCAAGTTTACACTGATTTAGCATGTAATAATACACCTTTTCACATATACGTTGAGACATTGTTATATATCTATTTGACAAATTTCATAATCGAATGACAGAACACATATCGAATGACAATTTAAAATAACTGTTCGTTCATGCTAACGGAAATGATTGACATAAGTTATGGAATTGACAGCCGTGAACAATAAACCGACAGTCTACATATAGTTTGAGAATGTAACAATTGAAGAATGACATACCACCAACAGTTATTTTAAATTGTCATTCGATATGTGTTCTGTCATTCGGTTATGAAATTTGTCAAATAGATATATAACAATGTCTCAACGTATATGTTAAAAGGTGTAATGGTTGCCCATCGTGTTCGAGGATAGCAGTCCCTAGGATCACATAAGCGTAAATTTGTTTAAGGTGTAGAAGCTGTCGCCAACTGCACTGGCTTACCATTACCCTGCAACACGATCCTCAAATCGATTAACATCCAGGTCACCAGTTACTGCTGGGTAGACAGAGGCAAATGGCGTAAAGAAACTTGCAGGCATGGTGAAAATCAGCATGCATATAGACAGTGCAGGTATACAATATACATAGCCAGTACAGGTATACAATATAAACATTGTAGGTATACAATATACACAGGCAGTGCAGGTATACAATATGCATAGCCAGTGCAAGTATAAAAACTTGTCTGGGAAAAACCTGAATATGAAATCTTCACAATAATAGAAAGACGTGTCTGTGTGTCTGTCTGTTCCAGTCATAGACCACGGACCCCCGGGTAGTCCAGGCAAGAACCAAAAATCCTCCTTTACTGAGATGTCGCCACGGTGATTGCGGGAGGTGGTTACCCGTGTGAGGGAGGGCGGCAACCTGTGGCAGTCAAGATTAGGTTAGGTTAAGCTAGGATGAGGTGGGTTGGGTTGGATCTGGTTTGGTTAGGTTACCCGAATCAGCGAGGGCAAACCGAATTCAATTTTGATTTAATGTTGACATTAATCGAAATGAATTACTTGTACACGTTTGGGATTCACCTTTACATTGGCTTACAGGTCCTGGTTTCTTAGACTGGCTAGGTGTACGTGTTGACGGGTGGGGATGTCGTCAGTCACCGTGGCTGTAGGAGAAGATCAGTCACTGGTCACTGAGCCTGGCGCCACAGTAAGGGAGTCTCTGGTTCAGGGCGACACCATTAATCAAGCAATAACCTTCAATGGTTATATCCTGACTCTCCACGGCTCACGTTGATTCCCCCTACACGTTAGTTAGCGAGCAAGTTCACACATCTGGTTTATTTCCCCATGTCAAAACATTAGCTTCTCTATGGATCACCTAAAACACAAAAATACCATCCCAAATCAACATATAAATTAGATCCAAATTACACATAACACTAGTTGAGATACATGATTAAGGTAAAGAATCGTTTCGAAAAGATTATTTAACTTTAATTCTTCTCTTGTGCTAAGTAATCTTATGAGGTAGTCTCTCCGTGTAATTTCACTCTGAGTTTGGAGACATTATTCTTAACCTTTGGTTGAGTCAACCAGTTAGGTTAGAGAATTCGAGGCCAGATATAGAGCCAGGGAGCAGCACTAAGCCACAGGATGTACACTCACTGCGCAGGCTCTCCTACCGTCCTCGCTGAGAAGTGTACAAAATTGGGTAAAATGTGATAAATGAATTAATGGTCGTCGTTACACACTAAACAATATTTAAAAAAAATTATTTGACAGGAAATAGTCGCGTTATATTTCTTATGTACAATTACCATCATAAACAATAACAAATGAGGGTTGGTCATGTCATATACCAATTGACAACTGATTCTGTTCTCCTTATTTGCAGACTTTTGGTAGAGATTAATGTTCCTATAAATGACAATTTCTAGGATATGAGAAGTTCTATCTGGGAGAGGTCGACTGACAATTGTGTGTCGTTAACTATACCAGAATCAGTACAGTAGTTTCTTGACACCCTGAACAACGCTATAAGTCTGAAAGTTCTCGGTGTTGTTTCTGAAGCAAATTTACTTTTGGAGAGCATATCCGTTCATAATATCTTCTTCATCCGTAAACACTGGAAATTATATACAATACTTCAAGTTTTATTCATGACTACGGTATGTGCATGAGAACAAAAGTAAGAGGATTTTTACCCAACAAAAGCTTGCATCTGTCGTCACACCCGCTGTTTGGAAACACAATGGCGTCTATATATGCAGACACTCGGTGTATATGCCAACGCAGACGTAGACACCTTCTATTACCCTGGCGCAAAAAACACTGTAGACATCTCTCTTATTCGCAGGATGGAGTTAGTAATGACTGTGGGGAGACACACGCGCTGACACAAGTAGTTCAACGGCTTCAACAAGGTGTAATTGGTTGACATAAACACTGTTGGTGGGAGACATGGTTGGTCGAGTCTCCTCTGTGTGTTTGTGTTGTTCTTATTCACGAAGCATGTAAAAGTATGCTGGCATGTATTCATGTATGTAGGTATATTTTATATATGTATGTATGTGTGTGTGTGTATGCATGTATGCACTGTATGTATACAAGTATGCATGATATTATATATGTACGTTTTATACGAGAGAGAAAGTATTTGCATGTGGAGTCACTTATAAAGGATTTCCTAAATAAGTTAATCCGAGTTTTTTCACTTCGTTGTAACACAAAGTTTTTGTAGTTCTCATAAAGCCAACTCTTGAGCCTCAACTAGACCAGTATTAGTGTAGGTTACGGTACACCCAGCAGCCTGCACACACCCAGTACCTGCCAACAGTGCAGGTTAGACTAACACTGGCACACGTTCATGTAAATTTAAGATCCTGTACACGCCCAGTACCTGCGAAACTGAGAAGTTACAAAGCGTCAGAAAGACGAGTAAGCTGACACAGGTTGAAGAAAACAAATACTAGGGACGTATAAATCGGACCAGTTCTCAGAAAGTTAAATTAAATGTTGTGAAACTCTTAAAGTATTTTTTTTTCTCCCTGAGGATCCCAACGTTGTGTGTGTACCCGGTAGCGTGTTCATAACAAGAGTATTCCTCAATATTCCAACGTTATCTTCATACTCATATCTCCTCGCATCACTCTAAACAGGCTAGAAAACTGTTCTTTAATCTCCAGGGAGGAATTTAAGAGGAGGTAAACACGGAAGAAGTTAGAGAGGTAAACACAGAAGGCAAGATGTTGGCAGATCAAAGAAGTTCCCAGCCAGACTTGTCACACCTTCTAAAGCGTCTTTATTTACTTCTGCCTTGTGATGTCGGGCGTCAGCCGGGGGAGTATGTGCCAATAGATTTCCAATCATCAGCAACTAACGACCATTAATAGTAACTTAACACAGGTAATGAAGTCATACAGATACATAGGTAATAAAGGACCAACTCTCGACCAATCAGTGAAATAGCAGACACATTTAGCACAGCATGAATTGAGTTGACAGTTGTTGACGGCTATCGACCATCGTTTTGACGTCAGCTCCGCTTCAGGTCATCTCTTGGGGCCTCGTTTGGGCTCACACTGACACTCCCGCGCCGCCACACCACCAGATATCGGGGAACAATCAACAGTGATCTCTTACTCAAACAGGCCAGCTTCTGGATCAACTCGCCTCACCGATATCTCACATACAACCACACAATCCCCGTGAGCTGCAGTCACGTTAAACCAATACAGTTGGCGGCCTCTGTGTTACCTCATACAGAACATATATTAAAATCATCACAAAGATAAAGAGAATACCTTAGAATAACAATAACTGTAAAACAATCTAAAAAAAAATAACCATCGCTAAGGTGAACAGACGAACGGAAGATAAACAGACACTAAATATCTTGTCCTTGGTACTTCATATTATTCTCTCTCTCTCTCTCTCTCTCTCTCTCTCTCTCTCTCTCTCTCTCTCTCTCTCTCAAATCCAAACACCCACGCACGCACACGAGTAAGTTGGCCAACCTTCCTATAATAGAACAGTTCTTGTATACTAAACAAATTCACAGAAATATAATGTGAAGTGCACCATTACCGTAATGCGTTGGTGTCGTGGTGTAATGAGCGTGGGTGGTTTAATGGGCGTGGGTGGTTTAATAGGCGTGGGTTGTGTAATGGGCGTGGATGGTTTAATGGGCATGGGTGGTTTAATGGGCGTAGGTGGTTTAATGGGCGTGGGTGGTTTAATGGGCGTGGGTGGTTTAATGGGCGTGGGTGGTTTAATGGGCGTGGGTGGTTTAATGGGCGTGGGTGGTTTAACCCTTTCACAGCGGAACGTTACCTGAGCTGAATAAAATCGTCTGGAAGCCAGAATAAAATGGCAAGTGCGTGAAACGCGGAGAAAGGGTTAATGGTCGTGGGTGTGTAATGGGCGTGGGTGGTGTGTGGGCGTGGGTGATGTGGTGTAATGGACATGGGTTGTGTAAGGGCGTGGGTGGTGTAATGGGCGTGGGTATGTGATGAGTGTGGGTGGGTGTGTAATGATGGGCGTGGGTAGTAAGTGTGGTGTGATGGGCGTGGGTAATGTGGTGTGATGGGCGTGGGTAGTGTGGTGTGATGGGCGTGGGTGGTGTGGTGTAATGGGCGTGGGTGGGGTTATAGATTGGGTGTGGGTTGTATGATGTAATGGGCGTGGGTGGTGTAATGGGCGTGATGATGAAATGGGAGTGGGTGGTGTGGTTAATGGGTGGAGTGGTTAATGGGTGTGGGTGGCATTGTGGGCGGACCTGGCATTATAGGGTGTGTGGTGTGGGTGGGTGCGTGCGTTGGGTGTGAACAATACTGACCAGAACAAAATTAAGCAGGAAAGCACTAGTCAGGTAAATATTTGGACTAAAACAATAAATAAAGAAAAATATTGTCCATTACAACAAAACCTATGACCAGCGACTAAGACAATACTCATTAGGAAAATTCTTGTTGGTGGAAGGACAAAGAGGAAAGCATTCATACTGACTAACCAGTGATTCACCTTGTGGTCTTCAGTGGTCTTCAGAGCTTGAGTGTGTGTGTATGTGTGTGTGTGCGTATTAACACACACACACACACACACACACACCAAGGAGACTCGTATCAACAGCCAGGGTTAAGCGTGCGTGGTACTTGTTCAGCTGTTTCCAATATACCTGAGGAGGGGACAAGTCTTCTTCCTCTTCTCGCCTGAATATCACAGACACCACGACACATACACTGACGGTCTCTCTACTACAGTTCGCTCTGTTGACAATGAGGGCCCACGAGGAGTTTTACCCACTTTTTCTACTATTATTTATCCTTTTTAAAGATAGTGTAAGTTTTTTCAGGAGTCAATGTGTAGTAACTTGAGGTGTTTTACGGTCTAGTGAACAACAGGACCTTTGGGGAGTTTTCATTTCGTCATTATTTATATTACCTGTTGGTTATTAGGTTCACTACAATAAAACAAAACTCATAGGCTTGTAAACACAGATGCTAAATGCAGTAATATTGAGTTATCGTTTATAGAACCACCTGGAGATTGGCCCCAGTTTATTTCACTTTAAGATTAACCCCCTAAACCAAACCAAACCAAACCTAACCTAACCTACCCTAACCTAACCTAACCTAAACTAACCTAACCTAACCTAACCTAACCTAACCTAACCTAACCTAGCCTAACCTACCCTAACCTATTATAACTTAGCCAAATCAAAGCTAACCTAACTTAATCTAACCTATAGTAACCTAATTTAACCTGACCTAACATAGTCTAGTCTAACATTACCTACAGTAACCTAACCCAACCTAATTCCCATAGGTAGTGTTATGGCGTTGAATAATCATCAGGGGAAATAAGCTCGGTAGGCTATTCTTCAGGTGATTCATGTTTATATTAAGGAAGGATTAATATACATGAACGCAATACTGAATATTCTTTATATAAACACATTAGATAAGATAAAGAATATCCTTCCCACTATTCACCTCCTAATTTTTTAAAGACAGAATTAACTTTATACTATGCAGATATCGTGACTGAAGACACAAGAAGGACGCTGGGAAACCACGACAATATTACTTCAGGGAACTGGATGGTTTTAAGCAACACTTCTTCAAATTGTAGTCTGGGAAGTGACAACGAAAAAGTCCTCATCCACCGAGTAAAGGAGTTCATACCGGCATGACAACGAGGAACTAGTTTGTTAAGTGTATAAACTGACTTTCTCTCAGGTGCGATGCTCAATACTGCCCTGACAACGACGCTCCTTATCAGCAAGTGTATTGGCGGACAGTAGCGTGACAGCAACGAGCAAATCTTTGAAGCATGCGTTCTGATTGTGGCATGACAATGACGACTGAACTTGTTAGGTGTGTAAGCTGACAGTGGCATGACACCCCCCCAGCCGTCAACTACCGAGCACGTGACGAGAGACGGGATACGTACCCCTCATTTCTACAAGTGACGGGGGGCAGGACAGGAAGTGACGTGGGTGGCGTGGGCTGAGCTTGTCTTCACTACTACACCACCACCATTACTCTCCCACTAGAACTTATCGCAGTCACAGCACACCGCCACTATTGGACCCCAGAAACCAACTTACTTTTAGCTGTGGTATTATAAACCCTGAAGCCCATCACTTAAAGAACTGGAACTTGTTTATATAATTTGGGATGTGACAATTTGTGATCTGGCAGTCGCTTCTGGCTTTAAAACTCTTATCTGAAGGGGGTGCAGATACTTGCCATAGTGATACTTAAGAGTGAGGATACTTGCCATAGTGTGGATACTTAAAAGTGCGGATATTTGCCATAGTGTGGATACTTAAGAGTGCGGAACTTGCCATAGTGTAGATATTCGTTATACTGCGGATATTAAATGAAATGACGTTACGGATGCGACATTGAACAATACGCAACCAAACCCCTCCTGGGCCAGTTGTCGAACCCGTGTCTGTGAGGTTAGGGCACAAAAATGACGCTACAGAGTGAAAAGTGACGGAATGTAAAGAAAAGTTTGGATCAATAATGAAGATTTACATGAAGCAGCTCAAGTGACACATAATTAACTTTAGTGACGCAAAAGTACCGCAATGATGCAAAAGTCCAGAAATTACGCCAAACTAACGCACAATAACGTAAGTGCAGCGAAAACGACATAAAACCAAACAAATGTAATAAAGGCGAAAGCAACACAGAACGATGGAAAAGTAACGCAGACGTAAAAGTGACGCAATAAAATCAAAAGTAGCACAGACGCAATAATAAAAGACGTAAAAGTGATAAAGACGCAATAATAGAAGTCGCAAAAGTAAAGCAAAGACGGAAAAGTGAAGCCAAGAGAGACAGAGAGTGATGAGTCTTGGTAATTGTCTCTAACTCACAGCTCATCATCATGGACGGCTGGACCACCTGTCTCTTGCTCTTTCTGGCCTTTCAGCTGGTGCACACCGACGACCCCCAGCTGGCTGAAGGTGGGTGTCTCTCACTCCCACACTTGTTACACACAACTTAGCACACCTGTAACGTGCCCACAATTGTAAAAAAAAAAAACACATCTGTAATATATCCACTTTTGTTACACACTCACATCTGTTGCTCACTCACACCTATGACATGCATACATCTGTAAAAGGACCACACTTGTAATACATCCACACCTGCTAATCATCCACACCTGTAACACGTCCCTCTCCCTACCCTTTCACCCCCCTTCATTCCCTGTCACACCCTTTCCCTACACTCTCACTTCCTCCCTACCATCTCATTCCCTCCTTCCTATCCTCTCACTCCCCCCCTACCCTCCTACCCCTTCTCCCTATACCCTCTCATCCTCACTCTTACCCTACCCTCTCACTCCCCCCTCTCCCTACCCTCTCCCTCCCCATCTCTCTCTCTCATCTATCCTATCCTCCCTCTCCCTCTCCTCCCCCTACCCTCTCCCTCCCCCTACCCTCTCACTCCCCCCTCTCCCTACCCTCTCACTCCCCCTCTCTCAACCCCCTCACGCCACACTCTAACAACCACACCTCCTCCTCCTCCTCTCAATAGACTGCCGTGTTTATCATCTCGAGAACTACACGGATCACCACCAGTCTCCGCCAGTGCCCTTCCGTGACCACCTCGAAGTATCAATGTTTGTGGAGTCGGCAGGACAACCACCCAGCTTCGTGCAAATACACCTGAAAAGTGACAATGAGTGAGTTATTAATAGTTGTAATGGTTGTAGTTGTTGTTATTGTTTGTGTGTGTGTGTGTGTTTTTAAGTATGTAGTTTAAGTTGTTATTGTTGTTGTAATTGTTGTGATTGTAATTTTTTTTGTTATTGTTGTATTTATTGTTTTTTGGTGATTGTAGGTGAAATTGTTGTAGTTATTAATGTTTGCTGTTGTAGTTGCGTAATATGTTATTGTTTTTGTTGTTGTAAGTTGTTTTTGTAATTGTTATAGTTATTATGGATCACATGAACATTCGCCCCGAGTTTATTTTTCTTGAATATTAACTAACCTAACCTAACCTAACCTAATTCCAAGATACCGTTATGGTGGTTGATCTTCATGTTTTATTGTTGTAGTCCTGTATTTGTTGTAATTGTTACAGTTATTATCATTTCGTTGTTGCAGTTGTTGTTATCGTATTTTTATAGATAATTTAATAGTTGTAGTTGTTGGAATTAAATTTTAGTTGCTATTATTGTACCAGTTATAGTTGTGATTTTTATATTGTAGTTGTCATAGTTGTAGTTGTTTTAGCTGTAGTTGTAGTAGTCGTAGTTGTAGTTGTTTTAGCTGTAGTTGTTTTAGCTGTAGTTGTAGTAGTCATAGTTGTAGTTGTTTTAGCTGTAGTTAGAGTTTACCTATCTGACCTAATCTCGTATAAGATCCCTTCATTGTTGTCGATAGCCTCGTCAAGGGAAATAGATCTAAAACCTAAAATACAGTACTTTCTCGCTTTTACGGTGTGAGCTGGTAGACCATTTCCATCCCAGTGTGAAGAAATATTTCCTTATATGCGTCCTACATGATATCTCGGAGCTTGATGTTGTCTCTGTGTTGGTAATATGTGACGACTTAAAAAAAATATCCAGGGTTCACGTTTTTCATCTCTATGATATGTGTCCTATAGTGTCATGTCTGAAGGATTGTCACTCCTATGGACGCTAACTTCACCTGGATAATCAAGATGATGTAGAGCTACGGAATCATCTAAAGTCACACTGTATTGTAACCTTTACTAAAGAGATGTTACGTCTTTCCTCAGTTATTATAGATGATGTTCACAGTTTCAATGATGATAGAGAGGTGTGAAGACGAAGAGCGAGTTATTGTATAGTGAAAATAGATCCTATGGGACGATGTGGATATAGTGTACTCAATACTAAACCTTCGCCTTTACATATATATATCGGATACTCTATACTAATATGGTGGTCAGGATGATTACAGTGCCATGGTAAGGATGATTACAGTGCTATGGTAAGGATGATTACAGTGCCATGGTAAGGATGATTACAGTGCCATGGTAAGGATGATTACAGTGCCATGGTAAGGATGATTACAGTGCCATGGTAAGGATGATTACAGTGCTATGGTAAGGATGATTACAGTGCCATAGTAAGGATGATTACAGTGCTATGGTAAGGATGATTACAGTGCTATGGTAAAGATGATTACAGTGCCATGGTAAGGATGATTACAGTGTCATGTGCTCCTCGACAGGACGGTGGAAGTGTTCATCAACAGAGACAGTGAAGTGACCGTGAGAATTGGGGGGAAGCAGAAAGTCAAAAAACGCCTTCTCTTGAACACCACAACTCCGCCCCTCAACTCCTGGTTCACGCTAGTCCTGGACCTACATAGTGATACACTGATTATTTTTAGGTAGGTGGTGTGGGTTACAGGAGGGTGGTGTGGGTTACAGGTGGGTAATGTGGGTTATTGGTGGGTGGTGTGGGTTATAGGTGGGTGGTTGTGGGTTACAGGAGGGTGGTGTGGGTTACAGGTGGGTAATGTGGGTTATTGGTGGGTAATGTGGGTTATTGGTGGGTGGTGTGGGTTATAGGTGGGTGGTGTGGGTTACAGGTGGGTGGTGTGGGTTATGGATAGGTGGTGTGGTTGTGGATGTGGGTGGTGGGGTTATGGGTGGGTGGTGGGGGTTATGGGTGGGTGGTGTGTGGGTTATGGGTGGGTGGTGGGGGTTATGGTGGGTGGTGTGGGTTATTGGTGGGTGGTGTGGGTTGGGGGTGTGTGGGGTGGTGGGTGGTGTGGGTTGTGGGGTGTGGTGTGGGAGGGTGGGTGGTGGGGAGGTGGGTGGTGTGGGAGGTGGGTGGTGTGGGAGGGTGGGTGGTGTGGGGGGTAGGTGGGGTGGGGTTATAGGTGGGTGGTGTTGGGTTACAGGTGGGTGGTGGGGTGGGTGGTGGGGTGGGGTGGTGTGGTTACAGGTGGGTGGTGTGGGGTATGGGTGGGTGGTGTGGGTTACAGGTGGGTGGTGGGGTTGTGGTGGGTGGTGGGATGGTGGGTGGTGTGGGTTACAGGTGGGGTGTGTGGGTTACAGGTGGGTGGTGTGGGTTACAGGTGGTGGTGTGGGACAGGTGGGTGGTGTGGGTTACAGATGGGTGGTGGGGTTACAAGTGGGTGGTGGGGGTTACAAGTGGTGGTGGGGGTTACAGATGGGTGGTGGGGGTTACAAGTGGGTGGTGGAGGATACAAGTGGGTGGTGTGGGCTACAGGTGGGTGGTGTGGGCTACAGGTGGGTGGTGTGGGCTATAGGTCGGTGGGTGGTATAAGCTACAGGTGGGTGATATAGGTAATAAGGTTAAGTGGACCCTGCAATCGTTAATACCTTCACCTACCTACAGGCCCGAGGACAGACTGCATCAGCTGGAGGTTAATGTGCGCTTGGGAGACAACGTGATGGCCCAAGTTGCCGGAGATCTTCACGTGGTCTTTAATTGCATGACAGGTAAGGTAGTTTCTAGTATGGCTTTTGTATATAAAATGGCGAATCTTTTTTTTCATTGAGTTTCTACGTTACAAATATGTTTAATGAAAAGTAGTAGTGGTAAGTGAACGTGGGTAGTTAGTAGTGGTAAGTGAATGTGTGTAGTTAAGGTAGGAGTGGTAAGTGAACGTGTATAGTTAAGGTAGCAGTGGTATGTGAACGTGTATAGTTAAGGTAGTAGTGGTATGTGAACGTGTGTAGTTAAGGTAGCAGTGGTATGTGAACGTGTATAGTTAAGGTAGTAGTGGTATGTGAACGTGTGTAGTTAAGGTAGTAGTGGTATGTGAACGTGTGTAGTTAAGGTAGCAGTGGTATGTGAACGTGTGTAGTTAAGGTTGTAGTGGTAAGTGAACGTGTGTAGTTAAGGTAGTAGTGGTAAGTGAACGTGTGTAGTTAAGGTTGTCGTGGTAAGTGAATGTGTTTAGTTAAGGTAGTAGTGGTAAGTGAACGTGTGTAGTTAAGGTAGCAGTGGTATGTGAGAGTTAAGTAGTAGTGGTAAGTGAACGTGTGTAGTTAAGGTAGCAGTGGTAAGTGAACGTGTGTAGTTAAGGTAGTATAAACATGAGCATGATTCGTAAGTCAATAAGTTAGGTGCTCTCTTATACCTTCAGTTAAGAGGAATATTTACCGTATGAATAGTTGTGACTCTAGACACTTCCTGGGAAGCTTCAAACACAGGTTGGGCGGGAAGGGTCGGGTGTAAACAGGGCTGCCTAGTATGGGCTAATACGTCCACTGCAGTTTCCTCTATTTTTTTTTTTTTTTGTTATATGTGTGTCTGAACGTAAGACTTTTTCATGTGTGGTTGTGATGTTGTGGTGTTTATCTGTAGGGAGATAAACTTACGAGAGGATATCCGTCACTCGTGTTGTGCCCCTGTCGTGGTCAGATGTGACACTGTCAACACAAGTGTGACACAACACAATTGTGACAGTCATGACTAGTGTGATAAGGAACGGTCATGATTGGCGCCTCACACTACTGTCCTTCAGGTTGTATGGTTCACGACAAAACCTCGCCCTGGTTCGGTCAAGATCTTGGAGTCTTGTCATCCTTGACTCTGTATGTGAGTCCAGAAGAAGGGGGTCAGCACCCTGTGGTAGTGGTAGAGCCCTTCAACTCCTTCAGCCAAGACCCTTCCGACAAGGTTGTGGCGAACGTGACTGCCGAGGACCCCGCACTGTGGTACAAGGTAGTGCTGCAGCAGGATTCAGAGAACGAGGTAAGTCGCCCTTGCCTCACTCCGTTATTTACATGGTTTTCCTTTCCACCTTTTCATTTAACAGTCTTCTACCATATATCTCTCTGTCTTAGCTAACGTTTTATTTAATACTTTGATAAGTTTCTGTTTTATATCGCTCAACAGGTTATCGTATCTTTCGTCGCCCCCATAACATGACTCGCTTCAGAACTGCTTCATCCTCTCGAAACTCTGACCACCTTAGACAGTGACCACCCGAGACAGTGACCACCAGAGGCACTGACCACCTGACTCATTGGCCATTTAAAGCACTGACCACCTGAGACAGTGATTATCTGAGGCACTGACTACCTGACTCAATGACCACTTAAGACACTGACCACCCAAGACACTGACCACCTGAGACATTAATCACCCGAGGCACTGATCACCTGACTCATTGACTACCTGAGTCACTGACCACTTGAGACATTGACCACCTGAGTCAATTACCACCTGAGTCACTGACCATCTCAGGCACCAAAACGTGAAATTTTGTCTCACCCAAAACTATACGGATGCTTTCCTGTTTGAGTTATGACTCTGGACCCACTTGCTGCAGAGCCGAATGAAAACAAACCATCACTGAACTACCGGCTAGTAAGCTGATAAGTGGCGAATATGATAAGACCGAACCACTGAGCTTTGTCAAAATAGATAATATTCAAATTTAGGCTCGGATGGCTTCGATCAGAGGTTCGTTCTTCCTAAAACTAGACCTCCTTCTGTGATGGTGTTTTCAAACGGCTCTCCAGCAATCAGCCCCAGTAAATGGTTTCATGATTCCACGTGACGCCGAGGAGATGTACAGTTCAGTACACCAGCATGAAGTTGGGGAAACAAAATCTCACATTTTGGTCGACCTCTTCCTGACTTCTTTCATGGGACTTCATTAATAAATTAAAATATGTCATAAAAAAAAAAAAAAAAATACTGTATTTTCACAGGCAGGTGTTGATGGCACAGGCCGCGGGGAACACAGGGTGAGGATAACGCTGTCGAAGAACAAGTCGTACAGCATCACCAACGTCACCAACGCGTTGTGGACATTATGGTGTTTCCCGGACAAGGCAAAAGGTTAGACAGAGGTGGAGCGTCGTAACATAACTACAATGTAACAACTCTAGCGCAAACGAACCTCACCTAACTTAACAGATTCTATCATAATAATGCTGTCTACCTCTTGTAACACCAACTACAGTAACTAGATGAACTAAACTATCATCTACAAACAAAAAGTTTCAGATCTCGAAGAAACGGTGAGCGTGCGCACGCGAACACACACACACACACACACACACACACACACACACACACACACACACTTTCATATATTTTAATAGATATGTGCGGCTCTATGGTTGTTACTGTACTATGTTATACTGTTATACTATGTGTACTATATCAATAACAAGAAAATAAGTAAAACAGAATGTATTACAGTATATAAATGACTAAAACTGTTTACCTAGATTGAAGAATTATAAACGGAAGTTTCAACTTACATATGAACAGGTGTGTCTGTTTCCCCGCCATTGATGGCGTGTCCAGGGCCTACTCTTACCACCTGCTCATTTAATAATAATAATAATAATAATAATAATAATAATAATAATAATAATAATAATAATAATAATAATAATAATAATAATAATAATAATAATAATAATAAATAAGCAATGCAAAATAATAATAATAAAAACACTAGAGAATCGAACGTCAAGTATTATTCCAACAGAGGCGATCAAACCCAGCATAAGAGGATCACTGGGCGGGGAAGGAGACTACAAGGAGGACGACGACGATGACGACCACGATGAAGATAATGACAAATTAGAGGGAGCAGGGGCGGGACAGGTACTGGCGTGGGTGCTAGTGGGCTTGGCACTGTTCATAGTGATGGTTTTGGCAATGATACTCTGCACCAGGATGGGATCACCAGCAGGGAATCATGGTGACTTCACGCCCTCTGTCGGTGTCGTCAGTCAGCGCTACGCCAACAGTCCAGAGAGCCACAGAGAGGCCGGTAGGTGTTGGGGTGATGGTGGTAGGGTGATGGTGGTAGGTGGTGAAGTGATGGTGGTAGGTGGTGAAGTAATGGTGGTAGGTGGTGGAATGATGGTGGTAGGTGGTGAAGTAATGGTGGTAGGTGATGGTGGGTAGTGATGGTGGTAGGTGGTGGAGTGATGGTGGTAGGTGGTGAAGTAATGGTGGGAGGGTGATGGTGGTAGGTGGTGATGGTGGTAGGATGGTGGTAGGTGGTGAAGTGATGGTGGTGGGTGATGGTGGCAGGTGGTGGAGTGATGGTGGTGGGTGGTGGAGGATGGTGTGGGTGGTGGGTGTGATGGTGGTGGGTGGTGGAGGTGGTGATGGTGGTGGAGAGATGGTGGTAGGTGGTGGAGAGATGGTGGTAGGTGGTGAAGTGATGGTGGTAGAGTGATGGTGGCAGGTGGTGGAGTGATGGTGGTAGGTGGTAGGGTAATTGTGACAAGTATTTGGTGGGAGTGAGGAACGTGTGTTATGATGCGGCCCTAATAACAACACCATCGACTCTAACATAACTAGTCCTGGAATAATGTCGAGGCTTTTTCACCAGAATTTCACTTCATCACATTGTACACAAGATAAGGACATGAGGAAGTGTGTGTGTGATATTCCTACTCTCATTTTGTGTTCCTCTGTCCCGATTAATTCAGCCCTAACTTAAAGATTTTGTTTCTCTTTATTCACCCTACACACGTAAGAACAGATAACAGTTAATACATATAAGACTCAAGGTATAAACATCACAAGTGAGAAATATACATTCAATTCTTACATCAAGGACCTAAACTGTAGATGTAATAACGTCCAATAAAATAATGTTTAAGAGCTCACGAGAGAACCTGAGAACTATAGAAATCCTTGAAAATTTAAATATTGACTTTCCTTCCAATGTCCGCAGAGGAAGATAGTGAGCCTGGGTCCCCTATGTTGACGGTGCCTCCAGTCAACCACAGACTACCTCAGCAGGACCACTACTCCACCAAGGTGCTCTGAGGCCCCCTTCCTCCGACTCTCTCAAGAGGACCATTACTACTCCACCAAGGTGCACCGAGTCCTCACTGACTCTCTCAAGAGGACCACTACACCAAGTTGCTCGCCCTCATTCTATATACACTTGGTTGTTCATTTCCCCACCGAGTTGTTTCGAGTCCTCCTCACTCCTCTAAGAGCTCCAATACTTTACGGGGGGGGGGGGTCTCTTTCACCTCACTAACATCTTCACAGCTCATCCATAACTCATTGTAGAGTATCATCATGCCATCAGGGTGTTCTAATTTCATAACAACTCCCTGTAAAGGACATATTCTCCAATGAGGTGTTCTGAAAATCATCCTGAACTATACCAGTAAGAGCACTGTGTTCTGCGTTCCTCTACAACTCTTCTGTGAGTATGTAAGGACCAACAAGGTGATCTGAACCTCTCCATTGACTTCACCAGAAAGAAACTGATTGAACTAAGACTTGAGTGACTTAAAGTCCCTCGAGGAAGGAATAATTAATGTAACCTAACAGGGATTAATATGTTGTCATCTTTTAAAGTCTATTCTCAGACGGCAGGGCTGGATGGGCGCCAAGACGGACTAAGTGATGCAAACATTTACATAATTAGGTTATTAGATGAATATGTAAATTTAATCCATTTAACTGAAACCATCCATAAACTAACTTCTTCAAAATGACACTCACGAAGTAATCTGCATGATTACGTCTTCATTAGATATTGAAAAATTCACTTAGCGAAGATCATGTAATGTATATCAAATAACTAATTACTATTGAATTCACAAGTGCCACTAAAACTAGACTCCAGAATTCTATTTTAACAAAGTGCTATACTAAAATGTAAATAAAGTTAGAAGAAAAATGCAGGACGAAGGCTCTTGACTAGTAGAATTTTACACAAACATTGTGTGTTAATAAGTGGGCGTATCTAAGGTATAGTCTCAGTGGACCTTTGATGCCATTATTGGGTATGAAATAATTTAGATTATGCCGACCATTACGTACAGTACAGTACCTTCTTATATCTACAGTTAAGAGGAACATTCATTGCTCGAACCTAGTGACTGTTAGTGAACCATGGCCTAGTGACTGTTAGTGAACCATGGCCTAGTGACTGTTAGTGAACCATGGCCTAGTGACTGTTAGTGAACCATGGCCTAGTGACTGTTACTGAACCATGGCCGAGTGACTGTTAGTGAACCATGGCCTAGTGACTGTTAGTGAACCATGGCCTAGTGACTGTTAGTGAACCATGGCCTAGTGACTGTTAGTGAACCATGGCCGAGTGACTGCTAGTGAACCATGGCTTAGTGATTGATAGCGACATTTGCCACATGGTGTAATTTCTTCGTACGTTTCGCAGACTTCAGTAACTTAAAACGTTATATATACTATACATAAATATTACTTTGTTCATTCATGTTGTTGTTCACACAGACAGTGGAAGTGGAAGTCATTACATATCACACGTCTTTTGAGTTAGTGGCGGCCTTAGTCGACCCAGTTGGGGAAGTGTGAGGCAGTAAGTTTACACTGCCAGCCATTCTGTCATCTTGGGGTACCTACTGAAAACTTGGCACCTAACGTGATATATCAGCAAAGCTCCTAACTGGCCGGGAGGTGTATGGAACCTACTTTCACGTTGACTCGATGCCTCGGGGTATGATGTCTTAAACATTAGAATAAGTTGACATATTCCTTTGAACAAGATGACATTGTATTTAGGAAGTTAAAAGACATCACACACAAGGCCGGCACTGCGATAAGTCAAGTCCCTTCACTACACCAGGAGACAGTTCAAGAAGCCATTAATCTAGACGGCGACGATGGAAAGGGCCTTATACTATCGACCTCGCCTGAGATCTGGTTGTGATGCCAAATTTAGTTAATGTACTGTACTATAGTGGACAAAAGCTCGCTCCTTCCCAAACTGAAGCAGTATCGATCCGCACAGCACATCCGCACCAGATAACAATCAGGGTAAGTCAGTTCGGAGACTCATTCCCGCGTCTCAGTTTCACTACAGGGAGCAAACTTTTGTCCACGATAGTACGTTGTTTTCTGTCTGAGTTATCGTGTTGACAACTGTGGACGGACGGACGGACGGACGCTCAAAATGGAAGCATAAAACCTCGTGTCTTTTCTGTCATTATCAATATTTTTTTCTTCAGTGTCATATTAGATTTAGAACCTCTTATTAAGCTTAGGGTTTATTGTGTATATAGTGAGGTGAGTCTTAGCTGATTAAATCCCGATTGTTAATATTCAACTACTGTATATAGTTCATTTCTGTTGAATATATGAATGTAGACCAATTGGGTGATTGTTTTCTGTCGTCATTCCTCTTTACCACAATAAAAGACTTCCACCACACGTGTCCCAACTGTACAACAACCTTACTGACGTCAACCCGTCCTTATCTCCTGTAGTAATAATAATAATAATAATAATAATAATAATAATAATAATAATAATAATAATAATAATGATAATGATATTGATGATGATAATATTGAAACTAATGATAATAAAAATGACAATAGCAATAATAATACTAGTAAATTACAACTAAAAATAATAAACAAAATAAAATTAAAAAAATAATGGCGCAGTTGATAAAATATAATGCATATAACATTAAAGACTTACATTCACGTCTGGTAGGAATATGACTAAATGAAATAATAAGAAAGGAGACAAAAATATCAAATAACATTAAATAAGATGTATAAAAATACTAAAAAACAAACCAAGATAAACCTTAATGTAAAACAAAAAAAAACCACAGCACCACTCAAGTCATCCATCAGGCACAGCGAGTGACAGCACAAGTATCCAACTATCGAATTTTATATTTACGTTTTCGAAACTCAATTAATTTGTCTGGAAGTACATTGCTTAGGTTAGGTGAAGAGAAGATGTTATTTTCAGTGGTTTGATAATGGAGCAAGAAAACAGCACATTGAGTGGAAGATGAGAACAGATCACGCAAGTGCAGGCGTTCTAAATTCTCTGGGTAACTGAGGTGCCGTAGTACAGGCACCAGTCTGGTGGCCCTCCTTTGGACATTTTCAATCAACTGACAATCTCTAGCATATCTCGGGGACCAGACGGGGTGACAGTACTCCAAACTGGGAAGCACCTCACTCTTGAATAATGTTATGTCTAGATATCTGAACGATCTTCTTATAAGAACTCCGTGCTTGGTAGCTTCATTCACCTTCTTTTCACAGTGGCTCGAGAACTTTAGTTCGATGTCAGTATACACACCCAGGTCCTTTTCACTTTCGTTCTCTGTTAATGTCGTTTCTTCCTCCCGTTGGAACATGTGATATGCCTCTTTACTATCGGCACGACCAAGGTGCATCTTTTTACCCTTAGTGACATTGAATCTTAACAGTCATTCCTTTGACCACTCATGAAGAAGAAAGAGATATTTCAAAAGCTCTTCACAGGCCGTTTGGTTCTTAATTCCCTTGAATAACTTGGCATCATCTGGAAACATTTGCATGGAGGAGTGTATAGATTCTGGCATGTCATTTATGAATCAAATACAGTAAACAACAATGGGCCCCAATACACTGCCCTGTGAACTGTGGTGCCCCGCTTGTCACAGGTACGCATGACGATTTCGTGCCATTAATCACCACACACTACTTGCACTTATGAAGAAAGTCTCCAATCCACGTTCGGACACTTCCCCGAATCCCGTACATTTCCAGTTTAATCCTCAGGCTTTGGTGGGGTATATTGTCGAAAGCCTTGGCAAAATCTACTGTAGGTATATATTGTCGATATTACCACCTGTTCCAGAATTTGAGTCCAAACATCCAACACCTTGAGTAATTGTGTCAAGCAGGGACGTCCCGGCATAAAACCGTGTTGGCAGTACTTTTCAGTTTAAAAAGTTGTTTCGTAGTGGATGTTTCATAATGACATCTGTTGTAATGCTGTTTCCAGTACTTTACACAGTTATTATCGAGAACCAATTTGCATTTACTCATCACATTCCAACGCTGTTCTTTCTTCCCATCAAAACTCTGGACATCATTCAAAAGTTTCACATTTATTCCATACATCTTCAATTCTGAATACATCACTTTCTATCTATTCTATCATATGATTTTTCCAATTCATAAATATATAATTTACTTATGTACTTTTACACAAACTCTTGATCTACACATTCTCTGTCTTTCCTTAACACACACACACACACACACACACACACACACTTTTTTCCTCCAACATTTTCAGTAGCATCTCATACCAATACCATACACATAGACACCAACAGAATTAACCTCTATAAAACACTTCATACTCTACAGAAGAAATGAAGACATTAGTACTGGTCACTACTATGGTTTACATTACAGCTGCCTAACAACGAAAGTTACTTATCTCCCGTGGCAATCACTGGTGTGCAATATTTAAGTTGCCCATTCTTCCGAGATACAGTCTCCCAGTGTACTGTGAAAAGCGTCATAGAAAACGTAACAAACGAATAACAGTCCTCCCTGAAATTGTAAGATAATAATAATAATAATAATAATAATAATAATAATAATAATAATAATAATAATAATAATAATAATAATAATAATAATAATAATAATAATAATAATAATTATTAGTATTTATCAGTAAAGTTGTCATACAGTTTACAATTTGATAAAGCATGTTTATAAACTATGCAGTTATACAGAGCAGCATGAATATAGACAATGTAGGTATACGGTGCACGTAGGCCGTGGGAGTATACAGTTTCCTGTGTGCCGAGACAGGGCAGGTAAACAACAATGGTAAACAATAAGGACACTTGACCAAGGATAGTCGACAAAGCTGTCCTTATTTCCTGGATGGTCTTTTGCTTAAGCTTACTGATTAAAACACCAAGTTTACGCTTGGTCATTGAATCAGTAACAGGAGTATTAGTCAAAACTTATTTGACAGACGTCATCAAGCATTACATTGGTCTTGGACTATCCGAGGCTGGTGGATCACTCCTGCAGTTCTACAGTCTATGGCTTAATTATATAGAAACTCACTCTCTTCTCTTGCTGTAGCATCATCTGTTATAGTTTTT